GCGGGATCTGGTCCACCACCACCTGCACGCGGCGGGACGCGTGGGGAGGCAGGGAGGGAGGCGGGAGGGCGAGCGGGGATCACGGTGCAAGGTGGCGGGGTGCGAGAGCAGGCGGGGGCGCAAGGGCGCGGCGGGGGAGGCGCCAAGAGCGCATCCCCACCCCCAGCCTCGCCCCGCCGCGCCTCCGCAACGCACGCATACAACAGCCACCGGCAGGCAGCACACGCCACACGCCGCCGCCGCCCCACCTGGCCAAAGTAGCCGGCGTTGGCGGGGGCGTGGAGGGCCGACAGGTCGACGCCGTAGAAGTCGGGGCTCTGGAAGAAGGCCGCTTTCTGCGCCACCTCGCCGTACAGCGCCTCGTCCGAGAAGGCGCACAGGTGGACGCGGCCCAGTCGGGGAAACATCTTGCCTGCGGTGGTTGGTGGTGTGGTGTGGTGTGGTGTGCGTGGGGGTGGCGGTGGGGGGGATGATGATGCCTAAAACAGCAAGATGGGGAGTGCCTCGCAGCGCACAAAAACCACACCCCTGGCTGCAGGCACACGCCACAGGCCGCGGCAGCTGGTGGTGGCTGGTGCAAGGGGCGGGCAGCTGGGCGAGGCAAAGGCAGGCGGGCAGCGCAGGGCAGGGCAGCGCAGCGCACCCCCCGGCTTGAGGTGCTTGTCGCGGGCGTACAGGTAGCTCTCAATCATGCGCTCATTCACCAGCAGGGTGCCCATCGGCTCGCTGACCAGCACGTCCACCTGGCGGCCAGGCGGGCGGCAGGGGCAGCCACGCGTCGGGACGGGACGGGCACAGGCAGGGCAGCCGTGGTCACCGGGAGAAAGGGGGAGGGGAAGGCGGCAGGCAGGCAGCTGCCTGGGGCCGGCGCCGTGGCCTGCCGCAGCCTGCCTGCCGCTCCAGCCCCCGCATGCGCGTCCTGCTCTGCCCCCGCCCCGCCCCAACCCGACACTCCGCCACCGCCTCCGCGCCCCACCGCCCACCTGCTCCGGCACCTCCACCTCCTCCACCTTGCCGTGCAGCACGCGGATGCGCTGGCCGAGGGCCGGGTTGGCGGCCGCCAGCTGGCGTGCGTGGTGCGCCATGTCAGACGCCTCCACGGCGTACACCACCCGCGCCCCCGCCTGCGCCGCAAACAGGGACAGGATGCCGGAGCCGCAGCCCACATCCATCACCGCCTTGCCCCGGAAGTCGGCTGGATTCTCAAGGATGGAAGCGTAGTAGGTGCCTGCGCGCGGGTGGGGCAGGGATGGGGGTGGGGTGGCCGACAGGTGTGTGTGTCTGTGTGTAGGCGTGTGGTGTGGAGAGAGAGAGCAAGAGAGAGAGAGAGCGTGTGTGTGAGTGTGTGTGGGCGTGGAGGGCGAGGCTGGGAGCATGCTGGCCGCCGCCGTGCGACATCCCGGCAGTACCGCCGCGCCTGTGCGGATGTAGTCCTGCAGCATGTTCTGCTGGTGCTGCAGGCAGCCGTAGTAGTGGAAGTACTGCGGCAGGAGGGAGGGAGGCAGATGGCGGAGGGTGGAGTCGAGGAGGACAGGCGCAGGAAGGGATGTGTCAAGAGGCCCGGTCGGGCAGAGGCGGTGCCCCCGGGGATCCTCCCATGTGACTGTCCGAACACAGACACCAAACAAGCCGCCGCGACCCACCCTGCCCATCCACCCACCCACCCACCCACCAGGTCTGCGCTGCCCTTGTCTGTTTTCACATCGAAGTGGCTGTGCCCGGCACTGTCGTTGCGCTTGCCAGCCCCCGCCCCCGCCCCGTTGCCTCCCTGCTGCTGCAGCTGGCTGCCGGCAGGCTGATGGCGGCTGTCGGCGGGGGGCTGGGCTGCGTCCTGCTGCCGCTGCGCTGCTGCCGCTGCCACTTGGCTGTGCAGCTCTTCAAGCGCCGCCGCACCGCTGGTGTCCAACGCTCGCAGCACAAAGGTGGTGGGGTCTGAGGCGCCCTGCCCGCCCAGCCCACTGGGACCCCGCACCATGAGCACGCTGCTGCCTGCCTGCCAAACCTGCACGGAAAGACGAGGACGGGGCAGCAAGTCAAGTCGAGATGGCTTGCACGCCAAGGGACGGACCACTGTCGCCTAAGGGCGGCGGCGGCGGCGGCACTGCATGCACAAACATCGCTGCTCCGACACACCCTCACGCCACCCAGCGGTCCTCACCTTGCCGGCATCCAGTGGCAGGCGGTGCAGGGGTGTTGCTGCCTGGTCTTCGATGACCAGTACCTGGCCCCCTGCCTCTTCCTGCTGCAGCCTCAGCCCAATCTGCTGCTCGCTGGTGGTCAGTGATGCGCTCCCTGGGGTGTCCTGCACGGTGCTCAAGGCAGCCGAGCCCAGGAAGAGCCCTGCCGATGCTGTCCCCATACCCAACTGGCGCCCAGCGCTGTCGAGGCTGCAAATGTGAACTCGCTATGGGTGCGGGGTTATGCTGGGAGGGCCGGACCTGCCTTAAAACGGTGCATGCCAACTAGGGCACTCTGTGCTGCCTTGACACAGAGCCCTGGATGCTTGCAGGGCGATCACCACCACGACAAGGGACATGCATGCCCGGGCGCTCAGACGTCGCGATGGCAGTGCAGCGTGGCCGCCACATAAGCACCAGCGCTTTTAATAACAGCAAGCTCTTATTACGGCCGGTAGCTTGCAATTAGTCGACACGAGCGCTTTCACGCTTTCAGGGATTGCGCTTGGGCACGCAGCACAACCTGCACCAATATGCTGTCGCGCAGGCTCACAGAGACAGTGGCCCTACAAGCTGGGCAGCCGCATAACAACTGGCCCGGTGTCTGCGCACAGCCAGCCAGCCGCCACCGCTGCCAGCTTCCCCCAGCGGCCATGCGCCCGCGGCAGCAGCCGCGGCGCGGCCGCGGCGTGGGCACCCTTGCGGCGGCTGCCGGCGGGCCCTCCGATGTGATGGTGCTGGATTTCGACGGCGTCATCTGCGACAGCGAGCGGGAGGTGTCCACCAGCGGCTACGAGGCCTGCCAGCAGTACTGGCCACAGCTGTTTGGTGCAGTGGGCGACGCCGAGCTGCAGCGCATCATGGCAGGGCTGCGCCGCGTGCGGCCTCGCCTGATCAAGGGCTACGAGGCCCTGGTGATGGCCCGCCTGATCCTGGAAGACGAAAGGTGCAGCTCTGCTGAGCTGGGGCAGCTCTGCTTCCTTTCTGGGCTGATGCCGCAGCTCACTTGTGGCGGCAGCCTGCGAGGGCACTGTTCCAGAGCATGCATCCCGCTCAGCCCCCTCCCTGCTGCCGCCGCCTGCTCCCTGGTACCCTCCCACCCGCCGCCGCTGCAGCAACGTGCAGCTCATACTGGACGACTGGGAGCCGCTGCTGGCGGCCACGGTGCGGCGGTGGGGCGAGAGCCACGAGGCGCTGGCGGCGGCGTTTGAGGGCCACCGCAGCGCGCAGATGCGGGGCAACGCCGACCGCTGGCTGTCGCTCAACCCGCTGTACCCGGGCGTCGGCGAGGCGCTGGCGGAGTGCCCCTACCCTTTCTACGTGGCCTCCAGCAAGGCAGTCGGCCGGCTGGTGACGCTGCTGCGGGCCAGCCTGGGCATGGAAGTGGATCAGCAGTCGCCGCGCCTCTTCGCCTCCCTCATCCCCCCCAACGAGAAAAAGATCGAGGCGCTCAGGTGGGGGGTGCGGCTTTCCACCTGCCGCCCTGCCTGCGCTCGCTGCCTCTGCCTGCCCTCCGGCTTGCCTTAACGCCGCCTGCCCGCCTGCCGGGTCTCCCACCGCCACCTGACGATTCCCTGCTGCTGCTGCTGCTGCTCCTGGCCTGGTTGCAGGGCCATCATGGAGCGGCCGGTGGCAGCCAACGGCGCCACCCTGCACTTTGTGGACGACCGCTACGAGACGATGCATGCCATCGCGGAGCAGGCGCCAGACCTGCTGGCCAGGTGTGGCGATGCACCATGGGCTGGTTCATGTCAGCCTGTGGCCGCCGCAGCATGGGACTGTAGCACAGCGGAGGAGGAGAGCGTGGCGGCGTGTGAGCGGCCAGCTGTGCGCCTGACTCACGTCCCGCCCGCCCCCGCTGCTGCGGCGCCTGCACGAGCAGGTGGCGCCTCTACCTGGCAGACTGGGGCTACAACACAGCGGAGGAGCGGCAGGCGGCGGCGCAGCTGCCTGGCGTGCAGCTCCTGAGCCGTCCCCAGTTCTGCGAGCTGCTCAGGTGGGGTGTGGTGATGGGGGTGGATGATGGCTGCGAGCCGACGGTGGAGGAGGTGGCGGAAGGCGTCAAGGGGTGAGGTGACGTGAAGCGACGGCCTGCTATTTGACACTGCGTGCTGCTGCCATTTGCACTGAAATGAACTGCGTGTGTGAGCTGGTGGCATCATCACTCATCAGCTTCATTCAAGGCACGAAAATCATGCGCTTGGCAACTGCTTCCCTGCTGTTCCTGGCGCACATGCAAGGGCTGTGTTTCTGCAGCATCTCTGGTCTTGATCAGCCCTGGTGTCCTGGCCTGGTACCCTCCCGGGCCAGCCGGCCGCTGTGCCGGCAGGCGCTCAGCAGATGTCCTCCGGCGGGTCATCCCAGGTGTCGGGCGCCTGCCGCTGGTGGGGCGGCTTGGGGCAGCGGCACCACAGGAAGGCGCGGTCGGCCGTCACCTCCTCGCTCAGCTCAAACCCATCCGCCTCCAGCGCCTCCAGCAGCTCAATCTTCACCCTGCACTCGGTCCAGCCAACCAGAGGACCCAGGCAAGGCGCGCGTGGATGCCGACTTGGCCGCACACCAGAGCGCATGGCTGCATCCGTGCATGCATGCGTGTGTCGGCGTGCGTGCGGCTGGTGCTCAGCGCCGCCTGGCCGCCGCTCTGGCCGCCACCCGCCTGAGGCGCTCCCGCATCTCCCCCAGCGTGGTGCACCCATCAAACAGCGCCTTGCCGCGCAGCAGCGCCTGCTTGCCCATCTCCACGCCGTCCTCCCAGTCAGAGTGCTCCGGGTGGTCGGCGGCGGTCTGCACCTTAGGGGTGGGCGGGCGTGGGGCGCGGCGGGAGACGGGCAGAGGGGCACTCGACCACCGATTGCCAACCCGGCGCGATGAGCCCTGCCTTGAGCTGCAAGCTTCAACCCGCCTCACCTCAAACTCTCTCTCAAACTTGATGGAATCAATGGACAGCCCGGTGATGGTCGGGCTGCCGGGCAGCAGGCTCCAGACGGCAGCGCCGCCGCCCAGTGCCCGCACGGCGCCGGCGCCACAGCCGCCGCCCCGCGGGGCTGCGGGGGCGGCCTCGCCCGCGCCCGTCGCACTGGGCGCTCCTGGCAACTGCACTGTGCAGCCCAGGGCGCAGGCTGGGCCCCTGAGCCGCGCGGTTGAGGTGTCGAGTAGCCTCCAGGCCCTCATGCGGCCTTGGGGGATGGTGGCCTCACATGGGCACAGCCAGTTGGCCTTCTCGGCCCTTGCAACCTTGGGTAAGGCCTGCTGCTTTCCAGGTGCTTTCCAGCGTGCTGCATTTTCAAGATGCTTCTGCCCTGCTGCCTCAAATCGTTATCTTTGCAGCTCCATCTGTCCTTCCCTGGCCCAAGCCAGCAGCTGCCAATGCCCATCCCACTTCAGGCGAGCAGGCCTGCTCTGGCCTCGACCCTGCTGCTTGCAGCCAGAGAGCACGGGCAGGGGCGGGTTCTGCAGCTGCAGGACGCCAGCTGCGTTCCAGCGGCGGCGTACGCTCGGCCCAGGCCGCCCGCCCGCCCCGACTGCTGCCGTCACTCGCACCGCAGGGGGTTGGCGCCGACGGGGGTGCTGCCGTCGCCGATGCCAACGACCAGGCGGAGCTGGAGACGGGCGCCGGCAGCGAGGGCGAGGAGCTGGAGCGGGAGGAGGAGGCTTTCTTCGACTCGGCTCAATACGAGGAGATGCGGGAGCACTTCATCAAGTACGTCGTGCGGCGGCTGCCCACGGCATGCACGGCATGCACGCATGCTGGCATGTCAATGCTTGCTCAGCTTGCATGCTGCGATGCTGCAGGTACTTTGCACTGACCGACGAGGTCACGGATGAGGTCACCGGCGTGCGGAGCCTGAGGGCCTCCCTCTGGCGCGCCAAGCCCTCGCCGGCCTCCCCCGTTCTGAAGCCTGGCCGCCTGGCCGCCCGACGCACTGCAATTGCGCCCACATCCTCTCTCTCCCGCCACTCCCTGCGCTGCCATGCCCTGCAGGGCCTTTGCCGACCGGCTGGAGGCGCTGGCGGGCGAGGGGTGGGAGATGAGCCCAGAGGACCCCATCGTGCATGGTGCGGCAGCTGTGGGGAGGCCCGGGGCGGGAGGCGATGGGGCACCCCTGAGCAGCCATGCCAGCGCACTGCCTCAACCAAGGCGCAGCTGTGCTTGCCGCTCGTGCTCTCGGCTTGCGCTGCGCTCAAGGAGGCCTCCGCTGAGATCTGTCCTCCTCCCCCTGACCTCGCTGGCACCGGAGCGCAGGAAGCGAGGACTTCACACTGGCCCACCCCGCGGCGGAGCGCGAGCAGTGGCGGCTGCGGCGCCAGCGGCGCAGGTGCGCGTGTGGGGGCAGGCGCAGCAGTGGCTGGCAGGTGGGAGCGGGGGCCAGCGACAGCGCCTGTTGGCGGCCCAGCTGGGCGCTGTTTGGAGGCCCCAAGGGGCAGGTTGTGGCGGGTCTATTGGTGGGCACCAGGCAGCTGTGCGCAAGGGCGGCAGGCTTGAGTTAAGCCCCTCACCCTATCGTGGGGGACTGGCAATGGCCACCCGTAGTGCCCAGGGGCGCCCTCCAAAAGCACCCGCCCCTTTTTGGAGAACGGGCGTTGGAGGTTGACCAACGGGAGCAGCCTGTTCCTAAGGAGGGCGGCGATTGGAAGATGGCGGAGGTGGCTGACAGCAGCCAGCAGGCGGCGGAAAGGCCGGCGGCGGCGGCGGCGGCGGCGGCGGTGCCCGCCCCGCCCTTCGTTACTGCGGTTGCTGCTGTTGTCAAAAGCCCACGGGCTGCTCCCACGCTGGCCTCGGCAGCTTTCTCGCTCTTCTGACCAGAGCGGCCCTCTTTCGATGTGCCTGTTCCCTCTGCCCGTAATGCCGAACCGGTGCGCCCATTCCTGTGCAACCTAGGGACTCAGACAAGCCCCCCAGGGTCGGCTCAGTACCTGGACATGGTTTCGTCCTCGAAATGTTGTGCTCTTTCGCATCGCATCCCACCTGGCCAGGGCGCCGGCGCAGCCCAGTCTGGCCGATAGCCCCCGGCGCGGGTCTGAACCAGTTAGAGGTGCACCAATTAATGCCAGGAAAGCAATAGGGGCTTTGGGAAGCGGAGCCTGTGAGCCACACGATGGGGTGCCTCCGGGCGCGCCTGGCGCTTTTCACAGCGCAATCGCACCTTTGGCTTGTGTCGGTTGGAGGCCTTCGCATCAACGTTTCGAGCTTGATACCCTCGTCTGCACGCGCCCTGTGCTCCATGGACGTGCTAGTGGTGAGTAGAAGCGCAGCGCCAGTCAGTCACCCCTCCCCCCACTCTCCCAGGGCGCCAGGGACGTCCCCATGGACGTGTACTACCGCCTCACAGCCCCAAAACGCCGTGAACACTGCCCCGACGCGAGGCGGCACACCGCTGCTCTCCGGACGGCCCTGCTTCAGAGCCTCACTCTGCAGACACGATCGTGCACGACGCACGGTGCTGATCCCATCGGTCGTCGTTCACCCCGCTGCCTTTGCCGCGCAGGTGGATGACAGCGCCCTGAACCGGTTGGTGCTGCGGCGCCTGGTCCATGCGGCAGGTGGCAGCAGCGTGGTCGAGGCCAGCTGCGGGCAGAGCGCTTATGCGGCCTGCAAGGCCTCCTCCTTTCCCCTGGTGCTCATGGACCTCAACATGTGAGTGCAGGCAGAAGGGGGCGTCTGCCGGGTGCTGCCTGGCCAATCTTGCCCGCCCCGTGCAGGGGTGGTGCATCTGGCGGCAGATTAGGCATAGCCACTTAGCTCGGCTCACAGCCCTGCCCCGCCCCGCTGCTGCCGACAGGCCCGTCATGGACGGCTGGCAGGCCACCGAGCACATCCGCCTGCTGGAGCGCGCGCGCGGGCTGCGCCCTGGCCGTGGCGCCGCCTTCATCGTGGCGGTCACCAGCGAGGACGTGTCCCACGGCTCGCCCGCCCTCCAGAAGTGCTGGCAGTGCGGCATGGATGCCGTCATGGTGAGCAGCCGGGGAAGCAGGCCGCTGCCGCGGCCTGGCTGGCTGGCTGGTCCCTGGCGGGCTGGCTGGGGCCCTGGCGGCACCAGCGCCCTGGCATCACCATCCTGCTGCCGCCCTGCCCGTGCACGGGGCATGCCTATGCTGCGCCTGTCGCCTCTCATGTGTGCCTGCCGCATCATGCAGGGCAAGTCGGTGACCTTGGACAACGTGGCAGAGCTGCTGCGGCTGGCCTGCACGGCGGCAGCAGGCTGCCCCCGGGACGAGGGGCAGGCGCCGGCGCGGCGCAGCAGCCTCGACTGCGAGCCCGCCTGCCTGCCCGGCCGCCTGCAGCAGATGCTGGATGGCGGCGTCTTCGTCCAGTAGGCGCGCGACGCCAGGCATGCCGCCACAGAGGTGGTACTGCCGACGGCCCTGTCCAGCCTGAGTAGCTTGCAGCATGCCTAGCTAGCGCTGTTCAAGCTGGCCATGCTTCCTTACACCCCCCCTCCCATTCTCCTTGTACTTTCATCGGGGCTGGCTCAAAGGACATTTCTTCTTCTGCTGACTTGGCACAGACACTTGAGCGCTGCTCGCATGAGCTGGCCCCAAAATTTTCTCGTGGCGCACCGAGTGTTTATTGTTCATCACTGTTCCATGTTGTTCTTTTCCGTGATCCTGTCTTGTCCCCCCTGAGTCAAACGCAAACGCAGCCCAAACATCCCGCACAACACTTTCAGCACACATTCTTTGATTTATTTCCTTGGAGCGAACCCAAACATTCATCCAGCTGCATTCTTTGCCGGGCCCACAGGCCCACAGGGCCGCGGAGCAGGCCCGCCTGCCAGGGCGCAGGCCTGTCCCGCTGCCAGGGCATGTAAGAAGTCTTACAGTCACTGCGGGAGTCAATAGAAGTGTTGGGGTCAGTGCAGGCAGTACAGGCAGACACAAATGAGATGGGAGGGGTGGTAAAGGTGGCGGCTGCGCACGGCAGTGCTTCTGCGTGAGAGTGGGCACATCGCCAGCGCCTCCGCAGGCCTCCACCCCCACCGCAGGCGGCGACCGAGGGGCGACAGAAGTGGGGCTCTGCATCTAGATGGGGCATGCTGGACCGTGAATCGCCAGCTCGGCGCTCAGCAAATGCCGGGGTGAGGCCGGCTCACGCCACCATGTGGCCTGTCGAGGGCGCTCAGTTGAAGCCCTTGGAGAAGAGGTCGTAGAGGGAGAGGCAGATCTCGGCGCCGATGAGGATGATGATGATCCACTCCAGCGTGTCGCTCTTGCGGTTCTGCAGGATCTCCAGAAAGTACTGCGGGCAGGAGGAGGGGCGGGAAGAACATGCCGGGGCACGGGTGTGCGGCGGGTGGCGTGCCGGGGGGGACGTGCGGCCATGAGGGCAACCAGCACGCACCGGGCGCCCGCTGCGCGTTGCAGGTCACACCACCCGCTCAGCTGCCGCCCACGGCCAGCCCAGCCCACCTTGAGGTTGTCCTGGATGAGGTTGAGCTTGGACTCGAGCGTCTTGAACCGCCCATCCATCTCCAGCTCCGACCGCAGGAACTCCCAGATCTTGCCTGCAAGCGCCGCGCACGACCGGGGCAGCAGAGCTGGCAGGGTGGGGTCAGGCGGGGCGCCGGACCCCGTGTGCACGCAGCCCCAGCCCCAGCCCGCTTGCAACCCCACTGCAGTGGCTGCCCTTGCAGCGGCAGACTCTGCGTGATATCAACAGGCAACCTCGCCGTCGGCGCAGCCAGGCGGCGTCCCCAAAGGAAGGTAGCCAGGAAGGTGGGCCCAGGGCAGCGGCAGGGCCCACCATAGTTGACATGCTTCCAGGCGATGTCAAAGCGCTCGTGCACCCCCAGCTTGTTGATGATGTCAGTCATCACAATGTTGTTCTCCGCCACCAGCTGCAGCAGCACCTGCGACAGGGCAGGCGGCGGGGCGCGCGGGGCGGACAGGAGGGGATGGGGCGCGTGGGCACGTGCCCGCTCCCGCTCCCCTGCTGGCACCGCGCCCACACCGCGCCTGCTTGCAACTCAAGATGACAGCCGGCTGCCACTGCAGTGTCGCCTGTTGCCTATAAGGGCCCCCCCTATGCCCCCCAGCCCCCGCACCTGCTTGTTGATCTTCCCTATGTTCTGCGTCTCCTGCATCTCCAGGTTCATGTTGCAGAAGGTCTCCAGCGTGCGCTCGACGTGGCTGCACAGACGCACGCGCAAGGGTGGGTGGGTGGCAGGCATAGCACCGCGGGGGGCAGCACCGCGGCAGGTGCTGCAGGGCAGCGGCCGCCTGGGCACCACACCACCCACGCAGCCACTACGTGTGATCGTCAGCACACCCCACGCCGCCACTATGCGTGATTGTCAGCACACCCGCACCCATCTCGCACACACACCCGGGGGCCCCCGCCGCGCTTTCCTCCCCGCCGCGCTTTCCTCCCCGCCGCGCTTTCCTCCCCGCCGCGCTTTCCTCCCCACCCACCTGGAGTAAAAGTCCATGGCCACCGACTGCGCCAGCACCTGGCTGATCACCTGGATGTTCTTCAGGTCCAGCATCTGCGGTACGGTACGGGGCAGTACAGCATGGGGAGGCGAGCGGGCAGGGGGCAGGCCAGCCACCACCATGCCTCACGCCCCAGCTGCCGCCGGCCGCACCCACCCTGCACCCACCCTGCCACCCCCGCACCTGCAGTTTGATGTTGTCTGGCGAGCAGGAGCTCCACACCGGCAGCAGCGGCGACAGCGTGAGGCAGTACTCTGCAGGGCGGCAGGGAGGCGGCGCAGGAGGCTCGGACGGGTTCACGCTTCTCCTGCTGCAGCTGAGCTGGCCCCGCGCTCACGCTTGCAACACAGGCGGGCAGCGCTCATGGCCTGCAGCCCACCGCAAACCCGCTGGGAATGCAGGCCCCCAGCCTCTTCCTGCCTCGCGCCATAGGCATAGCCAGGCCAGGGAGAGGGCGCCCACAGCGCGGCGGGAGCGCGGGCAGCTGCCCCGCACCTTCCACGTACGGCCGGTCGCTGCTGACGGGGTCGGCCGCCACTTCGCGCGCGATAGCCAGGTACTGCGCCCGCAGCTTGGGCCCCGCCGCAAAGAAGACCACTGAGCCGTAGTTGAAGGCAACCATGTAGGGGCCCACAGGCATGCCCTGCACGCATGCCGGGGCGAGGTGGCTGGGCGAGGGGCAGCGTTGGGAGGAGGAGGGGGTGGGCTGCAGGTGGTGCGTGGTGGTGGCGGTGGGGCGCCGCTGGGGTGGGGGAAATGTACAGCCGCACACAGCCCCACTGCGCAGCACCTGCTGCTGCTGCCCTGCGGCTGGCACTGCCCCGCGCTGCCCCCGCCTGTGCCCTCCGCAGCGATCTCCCCCTGTCCCTCCCTCCACCCCACGGGCGGCGCCTGCTCAGGGCCCGCCCAGCACCCGCCCGCCTCCCTCCCTGCCGCCGGCCCACCTCGGTCTCGCACTGGTCGGAGATGCGGCGCGGGGTGAGGCTGAGCACCACCGCCCCCTTGTGAACCTTGCGGTAGTGCCCCGCAAACTCAGGCCGCTCCTTGAGCGCGTAGATGTCTATCTTGCTGCCCACGTAGTGAGCGTCGGCCTTGAAGACCTGCAGCGGGCAGGGCGCAGGCCAGAGGTTGTGTGTGGGGGCGAGGGGTGTCGTGGTCTGTGCGCAAGCAGGTGGGCGGGCAGGTGGGCAGGCAGGGCGAGCCCAGTAGTGCGCAGAGCGAATGGCGATGGAATGCACGACAAGCGACGTGCTCCAGGGGTGCGGCAGGGCGTGGAGGGCTGCTTGCCGACCGGCGGCCGCCCCACACGGAGCCCGCTCCCGGCCGGCGTGCCGGGCAGCGCGGCGCGAACCTGCTCGCTGGGCGATGCTGCTGGCGGCAGCGGGCGCGACGCGGCGCGGTGCCGGCCCAGCAGCGCCGCCGCCGCCGCCGCCGCCTCCTCGTCCAGCGCGGCGCCTGTGTCGCACATGCTGCAGTCGCTGGGGTCATCCTGCACCCAATCCGAATCGCCAGCCAGCACCCGGTCGGCAGAGGAGGCTTCCAGCGCCGCCGCCGCATCTCCTGCCACCGACTCTACTGCCACCGCTGCTGCTGCTGCACTGCCGCTGGGGCCTGGCTGCGTGCAAGGGGTAGCGGCCGGCGCTGCTGCCGCCGCAGGCTGCGTGGCGGCGCTGGAGGCAAACGAGTGTGCCGCTGCCGCCGCCCAGGCGGAGCTGCCGCCACTCGCCCAGTCATGGGGCAGGCGCCTTCCCGCTGCTGCTGCCGCTGCTGCTGCGCTCGCAGGTGCATGTGCCGCGTCCAGCACGCCTGAAGAGCATAGCCGGGCCAGCACAGGCGCTCCCCGCAGCCCAGCCCGCCATGGCTGCAAGGGGCTCGCTGCTGCTGCTCTAGCGAGCTGGCGCAAGGCCATCTCCACCGCCTGCACCACCTCTCAGCAACCACCGAGCGCTGGGGTTTGGTCTGCGCAAGGTTGGGTGGGAGCCGTGGGGAGTCCTATCGCTGCTGCGCTCTCCACAGAACCCTGATCATGCCCAAATAGCCCAGGAGCTCTTCAGTTTTGCATCCTTCATTTCTGAGCGATGCCTCGCTGGCAGAGTAAGCGAGTAAGCGACGAAGAGGAGCACACAGCCCAGCCTACTGCATTTGGTCAGCCAATAAACGGCTGGGTGGCGTTAGGGCGTGACGATGGCCGGCGAGGAGGGTGAGGCCCCAGCCAACAGCCTCGATAGCACGCCGTTGCCACCGCCCTCATGCCCCGTTTCTCACCCCTACAGCGCCTGCCCGGCCTGGCCTCTGCAGAGCTTGATGACGGGCTAGAGTTGGAGCTGGACTATGAGGGCGAGGAGGGGGAGGGCGAGGAGGTCTACGAGTATGAGGAGGAGGAGGAGGGGGCGGCGGAGGAGGAGCCAGCAGCCGCGGAAATGCAGGGCGTTGGCGGCGGCGACGCCGGTGGCGAAGCTCCTTCCAGGGCCCCACCGGCCGGCGCGGGTGCTGCAGAGGTGGGTGCAGGCCAGTGCTGCGGCCAATCGGGTGCAGTCTGCTGGCAGCCAGCTGATGATTATGCTGTCAGGTTACTGTGGGCTTCCTCGCCTCTCCCTTGACACTTTGGTGCCTACTCCCGCCTCCCCACAGGGCGAGGCCAAGGTGCCAGATGCTTACAAGGCGGACGTCGTGTCGCACCAGGAGCGCCGAGACTGGCAGCAGCAGAGCAGGCAGCGAGGCAGGGGCGGCGGCGACTTTGGTTGCAGCGGTGCGCGCGGAGGCGGCGGCCGTGGGGGTCGCGGCGGGCAGGCACGCGGCGGCAACCAAAACCACGGCGGCGGCGGCGGCTACCAGCAGCAGCAGGCAAGCCAGCAGCAGCAGCAGCAGCAGCTGGCGATGCAGCAGCAGCAGCAGATGCAGCAGATGTACCTGCAGCGCATGATGCTCATGCAGCAGCAGCTGCAGCAGCAGCAGGGCCGCGGCGGCCGCGGCGCGCTGCCGCTGCCCGGCCTCGCCGCCGGCATGCTGGCGCCTGCCCCGCTGGCGCCTGCGGGAGGCATCATCCTGCCGGCCGGCTTCCTGGCGCCTGATGCGGCCATGGCTGGGGGCCTGGCAGGGGGCGCAGGCGCGGCAGCAGCGGCTGGCGTGGGCGGCGAGGCCGTGGCTCAGATGGTGAAGGCGATGCAGGCGCAGCACGCGGCGCTGCTCAAGCAGCAGCAGCAGCTGGGCGCATCAGGTGGGTGCGGGGCGCCATCTTGTGGCCCTGGAGCTGCGCAGCGCCGAGCGGTATGCCGCCCTTGGAGCCTCGGCAGCGCCACACGCACACTGGTGCTGGTGCCACGCACGCACGCATGATGCGCCTCCTCCCCACTGCGTCCTGCTCTTTTGCTGGCCATGCGCGACCCCGCCCCGCCCTGCCCTGCCCTGCAGGCCTGGCCCCCGGCATGCCGCTTCCGGGAGTGATGGGCATGGCAGGCATGCAGGCGGCGGCCGCAGCGCTGGCCAAGCCGCCCCCGCCGCCCGGCTCGCCGCCGCGCCACCCGGACGGCGAGCAGCAGCAGCAGCAGCAGCAGCAGCTGCTGCAGCAGCACCTCATGGCCATGCACCTCATCCAGCAGCGCCACCAGCAGCTGCTGAGCCAGCAGCGGGAGCAGCAGCGCGAGGAGCAGCAGCGGCGCGAGGCGGAGCAACAGCGGGGCCAGGAGGCCGGGGACGACATGGACAGGGCTGTCCTGCACCAGATGGGCATGGCGGAGCAGCGCCACGGCGCCTTCCCACACCAGCAGAGCCCCGGAGGCGGCCGCGGCGGCGGCATGCCAGGCGCAAGCCCGCCGCAGCAGTATGGGGGAGGGCGGGGCGGGGCCGGGCATGGGCGCGGCGGCGGCTGGAACCGGCCCTACCCAGGCGGCCCGCCGGGGGCTCAGGGCCCTCGCCCGGGCTTTGAAGGCGGCAGGGGAGGCCCGCCGCACGCCCACCAGCAGCAGCGTGGAGGCGGGGCGGCAGAGCTGGGAGAGGCGGAGCATCAGCAGGCGGCAGCGAGGTGGGCAGCCCAGGAGGAGGCGGAGCAGCTGACTCCCGAGGAGCGGGCGGCACGAGAGGAGGTGAGCTGCCGGCATTTGGGTGGGCCCACGGCAAGCAGGAGCAACCGCAGCAAGGCGGAGTGTCGCCCTTCGCACGGTCGGTGGCGGCGTGCGTGCTCGCCCTCCCGTGCTGCCAGACGCGTGCAGTGTCCACACAAAGCGCGGCGCGTGCGTCTGTTGTGGGGCCGCAGGAGGAGCGTCACCGCAAGCTGGCGGCCATCGAGGCGCGCAAGCGGGCTCAGGACGAGGAGAACCGGCGGCTGGCGGCGGAGCGCAAGCGCAAGATGGATGAGCTGCAGCACAAGGTGCGGTTCGGGGGGTGCTGATGCTGTGGCTGGCCGGCACGTGTGGGCAGGCAGGGCAGGCTGGTGGGGCGCTGGTGTGTGCGCTAGCCGCCGGGCTGGCGCCTCTCTCATCAGGCACCCCCCCCTTGCGGCGCTGTGCGGTTTGGGTGCAGGACACGGCACGCAAGGATGCCAAGCGGCGCACGGTGGAGGTACAGATGGAGATCCTGCGGCGCCGCATCGCCCAGGAGGAGGCCAAGCTGAAGGCGGCCCAACTGCAGGAGCAGCAGCAGCAGCAGGGCGGTGCCGCCGGCGAGGCGGTCCCGGCCCAGCAGGAGCAGCCGGGTGAGCCTGCGGGCGGCGCGGGCGCGGCAGCCGCAGCAGGTGCTGGCGCCGCCGTGGAGGCGGCAGATGGCGGCGCGGGCGGCGGCGCCGCGGCGCAGCACCAGAACGGGGCCGGGATCGCAGCAGCCGAGCCTGCTGCCGCCGGCCAGTGACCAGTAACCAGCAGTGCAGGTATTGACTACTACTTTCCGCTCAGCTCTGCTTTGCCTGCTGCAACCTGTGAATACCTTCCCTTGCCAGCACTGCGCATGAATGCATGCATGACAATGTTTGCACTTGACCCTGCCTGCACTGCCCCCCTGAATGCACTGCACTTTTATTCTGACCTGCATGCTTGTTTTGACCCACCCCAGTTTTGTGCTTGCTGCGCTGCTATCGCCTCTTCCCCTGCCGCTCTCTCACGCTGCCTGCCTTGCCTTGCGCACCGCCCCTGAACGCCGGTGCCCTCCCATCCACGTGCGCCGCCATGTTGCAGAGTGCCCCGCTCCACCTGCCTCTGCCCCAGCCAGCCTTGCTGTAACACACGGGTGCGCAGCGCACGGTGGGTTAGTAGGCTGACAGGGAAAGCCCAGGGCAGGCCAGCAGACGCAAGGGTGGCGGTGGCGCCGCCCGGTGGCGGCGGGACATGGCACACTTGCAACGCAAAGAGGCGGGCTGCGCAAAGACCGGCTGCCATCGCCACCACATGGCACTGCCAGAGCACCCCAACCCAAGCATTCCGCTCCGACAGGCCTCGGGAAGCGGGACCCAGGGGCTGACGGCCAGGATGTGTCGGGCTTTCGTGTGTGGACGCTTGCAGTCTGATCTAAGCTCCTCCCACCCCCACACACTCTCCACCTCCCAAGATGCAGGCTGTCGCTACCCCTAAGGCTTCTGCCGTGCGCACCACCGTGCGCACCCGCCAGCCTCTGCGCGTGCAGGCCAGCGCTCGCCCCCAGCAGGTGCGCCGCCTGAAAGTTGCCTGGTGGACCAGTGCGGAGAGCCATCGTTAGGGTGATCGCGCGATCGGCTGGTGGAGAACTCCACACGACACCACTAGGGTTCACACGATGATGGGGTGGCCCAGGACTGCCCCTGACCCCTCGCAACGCTCCCATGGCACCTGGTGGCTTGCAGGCGGCCCCCAAGAAGGCCCCGGTGGTTGCGGCGGTCCTCGCTCTTGCCGCCACTGTGCTCATCAACGCGGCCCCCGCCGCCGCCGCCGACGTGAAGTCTGTGGTGAGTGCTTGCCTGGATCCTTGCTGATGTAAAATGTGGGGGTGCAGGAGATGAATGTATGCAAAATGCTGCATAGGCGCCGCTCTTGTGGCGGTCAAAACAAGCTTGTGTCCAGTCGTGCAACAGCTGCCGCTTCTGGCTCGTCGGAGGCTCTCCTCCAGCAGCAGGCCGCACAGCTGGCCTGCGGGGGCCCTGCCATCCACTGCAAGCCCACAATCCTGCTGCAGGTCTGCGCCAGCAACCCCACTGCCAAGATCTGCCTGAAGGGAAGCGCAAAGAACTGAGCGCACTCGGGGAGCAGGAGAGAATGGGAGAGAGCGAGGAGCAGCGAGGCTGCCGCACTGACTCTTGGCGGATGAGGGAAAGCCCCGAGGCTGCGCCCACTCGGCTCTCGCCTCGACACCTCGCCTGCACTGCCTGTACCGCCTGTATTCTTGTAACAACCCTGGCCTGTCGCGACTGGTGGGCTGCCCAGCATTGCTCGCGCGTTGGTTGACCAGGCTGGCCAGCAAAGCAGCACAAGCCCAAATCAAAGTGGGAGAGAAGTCAATTTTGCGTGCTGCCTGCTGCAGCGCCGGCGCCCACAGCCAGTGCCTGCGCGCGCCCCTCGGCCCTACGACAGGCCGTCCAGCAGGGCTGCCAGCTCGGGGGCGGGCGTCAGCCCGATGGCGGCCACCTCCTCAGCCGTGTACTCGCCCTCCAGCAGCGCCGCAATCTGAGGGAGGAAAGGAGGGAGGTGTGTGTGTGTGGCAGGGTGTGTGTGCGTGTGGCAGGGTGAGGGGAAGGTTTGCGTGTGTGTCTGGCCGGGCGGGGTGGTGTTTGTTGGGGGAGAGCGATGCTACCGGCTGGGCATCAGCCCACAAAAGCCAGCCCGGCAGCAGCGCACGGCACGCCCCTGCTATCGGGCCCGGCAAGCCCAGCCCTACACGCTCCTGCACCGCCACCACACCGCCGCAGCTAGCCCCCACCTGGCCGTGCGCCTCTGCCACGTTGGATTTGATGGGCTTGAAGAGGATGGCGTGGGTGGAGGGGTTGGTGAGGTACAGCTTCATCTTGGCTACCGCGGCAGGCAGCGTGGAGGACAGCGCCTGCCGCACGCGCCCCACCAGCTCAGCCACGCGCTCAGGCGCGGCAAAGGCCTGCGGGTGGCGGCAGCAGGCAGGAGGGGGCATCGGGCAGGCAGGGAGGCAGGGAGGGAGGAGCGCGCCGCCGCAGGGGACGGCGAGGTGCGCCGCAGCTGTGCAGTAGCAGCGGGGCCAGCTTGAGCACATGTGCACCACCTCACGAGGCCGGCCAGCAGCCCCCCTGGCCCTCCTTCCGAGGAGACATCTCCACCCTTCCTCCCCTACCACCCCCACCCCGCGCACCTGCTCGCGCAGCGGCTTGGCGGCGCCGCCCTGCTGGCTGGCCGCCACCCGCGCCGCGGTGACCTTGGTGATGAAGGAGAGCAGCGGCTCCACTGTGAGCTTGGTGGTGTTCATGATGAAGGCCTCACAGGTGGACTTGAGCGCGCGCTCCAGCTCCTGCGCGGGGTGCAGGGTCAGGTTGGGGATGCAGGGCAGGCCCGGGAGCAGAGCAGGGTGGGGAGGAGCAGGACAGGCAGGCGCCCCCTGCCCCCCAACACGCCCACCCCTCGCCGGCCCTCTCCCCCGCGCCAGCTCCCGAGCCCCGCCGCCACCCCGCGCACGCACACACACACACACTTGCGGACACACCGGCCCTGCCTGCGCGCCCGCCTCCCTGGCCCCTCCAGGCCCCCCAGGCGCCCGCCCGCATCACGTGCCGCACCTTCTTGGAGTCCACCTGGCTCTCCGCGATGCGCGGCGCGCCCTTGCCCAGCAGCTGCACCACCGCGTTGTCGTACGACAGGCTGAACAGCGGCAGCTGCCCGCTCAGCGTGCGGCGCAGGTAGTCGCGCATGTGGGTGAAGTCTGGCGGGGAGGGTGGGAGGGGTGGGAGGGTGTGGGGGTGTGGGCCGGGCCGGGAGCTGTTGTCAGGGGCGAGGTGTGTGCACACGCACGCCAGCACCAGCACCAGCACCAGCACCTCCGAAAAGGGGAGAACACAGAAGGAACAATGCACCCCCACGCACCAGCGCCACCAGCCCGGCCCCCTGCCCCGCTCACCCAGGTCCCGCTCCACCACCGCAAAGTCGGCCTCAAAGGGCGCAATCTGCTCGCGCAGCACCAGCAGCTGCTTGATGGCAAACAGCTGGCTGTCCATCACGCCCTTGGACTGCGGGGCAGGCAGGGGCAGGGCGGGGCGGGCGGGAGGTGGGGAGGCAGGCGGCACGCCGCGCCGCCCGAGCGCGCGGCAGCGGCAGGATGCGGGCAGCGGGCGAGCAACACGCACCACGCGCCAGGCAGCGGGCCGGCAGGCAGCGGGCAGCAGGCCAGCAGGCGGCGGGCGGCGGGCAGCAGGCCACGCCAGCAGGCACCCACCTTGAGTATGTGCCTGGCGGCGTCCTGCACAGAGGCGGTGGCCGCCAGTACCGCCTCGTGCGCCAGGCCGTTGAAGATGCGGGAGTCGACGCCCCGGTACAGCTTGCTGAGCAGCAGCAGGGTGCGCTGCACGGGCGGGTACCAGCTGCGGTACTGCGCCGCCGCCTGGTCGCCGTCGGGCGTCGCCGCCGCGGTACCGTCGCCGCCCTCCTGCCCGGGCGGCACGCTGGTCGACACAGGCAGCGCCTCGTCGGGCGCGGGCGGCGGCACGCCTGCGCCCCCTTCGCCGCCCTCGGCACCCTCGCCGGCGCCTGCCGCCGGCGCCTGCTGAGCTGGCGCCTGCTGAGCTGGCGGCTGCTGAGCTGGCGGTGCCTGCAGGCGTGCCGGGTAGTCCAGATCCTCGGCCTTGGCCACAAACCCGGCAATCTCCTCCCGCACAAACGCCTGCGCCCGGAACGTCAGCCGCTCCTGGATGTCGGCCAGCGTGCGGGCCAACATGGGCTCCAGCGGCGCCACCGCCTCGCCCCGCCGCCCCAGCTGCTCCTCCAGCACCTGCAGGCCAGGACAGGCGACAGCCCTGGCGGTGCTCGCGGGGCAGGGGGACGGTGCGAGAGGGAGTGCACCCGCATGTGTGTTGGGGGGGGGTGTGCCCGGCCTGCGCCGGCGGGCACAAGGGAGCGCAGGGCACCAGCCCGAGCCTGCCACGCAGGCAGGCAGCCAGAGGGCCACCACTCTCCCCACAGAAGAGCGCAGGGCACCAGCCCAGGCCTACCAGCCAGCCAGCCAGCCAGCCAGCGCCAGCCCGTCCCACCCAGGCCGCTCCTCCCCCCTCCCCCTCTGCCCCACCTCTGTGCGCAGTATGTCCACAAGCTCGCACAGGGCGTCAATGTCCTGCACGCCTATGAGGGCAGGGCGTACCGCGTCGTACAGCAGCGTGCACAGCGGGTCGACGAGGGGCGCCAGGCTGGCGCCGCCGCCGCCCGCCGCGGTAGCCGGGAAGAACTGCTCAAAGAGCTGGGCCTCCTGGGCGCACGCCTGCGGCAGGGCAGGGCAGGGCAGCCAAAAACCAAAAAAACACCGGCGCGGCGGTTTGGTTCGGTTGGGGTCGGTTGGGGTGGGCTGCACGCTCCCACTCACGATGAGCGGCAGCAGGCAGCCGACACAGCGCACACAGCGCACGCGCCCTCACCAGCCAAGCACCTCCACCCCCGCCCCACCCACCCACCCCCCTCCCCACCTGCATGAGGTAGGAGCAGCCGCCGCGCAGCAGCGAGGGCAGCGGCTGTGCGGCGCACTGGCGCATGTGCGCGGCCACGGGCGCCTGCATCAGCGCCAGCCGCGTCTCGCAGTACAGGTCCTGGCAGTCCTTCAGCAGGCGGGCATAGTCCTGCGGGAGACGAGGGTGGGGGTGGGGGTGGGGTGCGCTGTGTGTGTGTCAGGTGTGCGATGTGGGGTGATGGCAGGAGAGGCACGACAGTGTGCAAGCATGGCGGCGATGGTGGTTGTGGCCTGTGGGGCTGGGCCGGGCTACAGGCGGCGCCTCGGCGGCGGGCACCAGCGGCAGCAGCCCCGCCCCCGGCGCCGGCACCCGCGCTCGCGGCCTCCCGCCGGCCTTGCCTGCGACTGCTGCGCCCGCTGCTCGATGCCCTGCAGCAGCCCCTTGAGGGCCGGCTCCGCCGCCGCCCGGAACCTCACATACAGCAGCGCGGCTGAGGCGCCGTCCGCAGCCGCCGCGGCCGCCGCCCCGCCGGCCGGCGTCGCCGCGCCCGCGCCGTGCGCCGCGCCGTCGCTGCCGCTGCCCTGCCCCTCCCGCGCGCCCGCCGCCACCTGCGCCGCCGCCGCGCGCAGCACCTGCTGCACTTTGGTGCGCACGGCTGTCAGGGCGCGGGCCTGCAGCTGCCGGAACTTGACCGCATACGTGGCGGCATCGGCGTACTGCGGGTTGGAACCCACATAAGCGATGCACTCATCCAGCCGGCGCAGCAGCGGCAAAAAGTCGGCACTGTCCACTGAGCCAGCGGCAGACTGGAACTGCAACACAGCACGGCAGGAGGGAAGGAGGTGTGTGTGTGGGTGTATGTTGCGGGTGCGGGCGGCGTCTCTGGGTCGGAGCGGTGGTGTGCAAGGGCTGGCGCGGCGCAGCCAGCCCGGTGTCGCCACGCCGCGCCCTCCCGCGCAGCCTCCTGCCGCCGTGCCGGGTGCCGCACCTGCGCCGCCACCGCCTCCAGCTCATCGAAATATGCCAGCTTGGCGCGTATCGCCCCCGCCAGCTCCTCCAGCCGCCCCCGCTCTGCCACCAGGCGCTCGCAGGTGCTGTGCAGCGCGCTGGTGCGGGCCGCCACCGTGCGGTGCTGCTCCCGCAGCCGCTCAAACAGGTCCAGCACCTGGGTGCGGCAGGCGTGGGGCGGGGCAGGGAGTGGGTGCAGGCCGCGGCGGCGATGCAGAGGGGCCCAGGCAGGCGGGCTCGCTGTGTGCCGGTGCCAAACTGTGGATTATGGAACGGAAAATCAATGAAATGATTTCAAAACATGAAACATCGGCGGCATCTCTCGCCCCTTGCAGCAGCCCCTTGCCGCCGGCGCCCCGCCCGCCCGCCCCGCACCTCTTTGACGATCGCCAGCAGGCCATCGCAGGCGGCCAGGTGGCCCTCCAGCGCGCCGCCGTACCTCCTGAACTTCTCCTCCGTCTCGCTGGACCGAGCCGCCTCCAGCTCCGACAGCCAGCGGTAGAAGTCGCTGCTGTTCTGCAGCGGGCGGGGGTGGGGTGGGGGCCGCCGGGCAGGCGCAGGCAGCGGGCGGGTGAGGCCGGTGTGTGTGTGTGTGTGTGTGGAGAGGCAGGCAGGCAGGCACGCAGCGTGGGCATGGCAGCAGGCAGGGATGCCACAGAGCTATGCCTTGTCCACTGCCTGCACCTGCGACTCTGCAGGGCTCCAGCTGCTGATGTGGGCATGGCACGGCAGCAGCGGCATGGCAACGCAGGTGGCTGCCTGCAGCCGGCGGGCGTCGCGCGGCTGCCAGCCGATGCGCAGCTCCCCGCGCCGCCGCACCTGCAGCGTGACGTCTTCGAATGAGGTCCCAGCAAAGCTGGACTCTGCGCCGTCTGGGGAGCCCGGCGACAGCGGCGTGGCCGGCACCGGCGTGGCATCCGGGGTCGCGCCCGCCGCCAGCTGCAAGGCAGCGAGAAAAGTGCTCGGGCGGGCGCAGCAGGATGGCGCGGCGATGCCATCAGAGTGATGCCAGGCCATGCTGCGGACCCCACGCATCTGACAACCAGTGCAAAGAGGCGCCCGGCGCAAACCGTTGGCCGCACTGCTGCCCACCCGCCCCACCTGCTTGGGCATAGGCCGCTGGCTGCAGCTGGCGCTGATCACATCTATGGCTCGCTGCTGGTCGTCAGTCAACACCGCGCTGTGCTCCCAAATGCTGGCCTGCGGCGGCAAGGCGGGCGGCGGCGGGAGGGCGGGCCAGGCGGGTGGGCGCGACGCACTGCTGTGCCTGCTTGCCGCACCGTCCTGGACTTTCACGCGCCCCTGATGGCCCGCTGCAGCCACCCACAGCTAGATTAGGGGCGACGGAGAGTACGTACCACGCTGTAGCCTGCTGTTGCGGCAGCTGAGGCCAGCACCCGTGGGGCTGCCCTGGTGCCCTCCCCCGCCGCGGAAGCCATGACCGGATCGCCCTGGCCCCTGCTGAACGGGGAGCTATGTGCGCGCTGCCATCTGCTGGAAGCTTGAACCGTTCAGGGCTCCTCTATCCGACAGAGTGGTGTGGGCTGGGTCGGGTGGCTCGCCCGATCGCATTCTTGCGCGCAACAGCTCGGACAGATGGTACATTGTACTGGGGGGCGATGGGGTCTCCTGCACGACCGGTGCCAATCGCTCACTGATCCACGAGCCAGCATTAAATGGTGGAGAAACAGCTGGCCTCATTTTTGTTGACCGCCAGGCAGAGCCTGAAGCATGGGCAGGTGGGCCTCAAGGCGGACTGTCTGAGCGCTGAGGTTGGCCTCCGCGGCTTTTGCAATGCGCTGGGAGCAGATGGGAGCCAACCTTTCGTGAGCCATGTCGAGATGCCCAAGCTTGCCGCCGCCGCCCCCCACTTGCAGCCCCAGCACGCCGCCGACCTGCTGCAAGCCGCTCTCCACCTCGACAGCCGCAATGCCCTGGCGCTCTTCTTGCTGGGCAACGCGCATGCGGCGCTGGGCGCCCATGCGGCCGCCGCCCACGCCTTCCGCCAGGCGGCGCGGCTGACGGGCGATGCCGCACCCGACTCGCAGCGCCACCAGCTGCACATCACGGCCACCGAAAACTTGCTGCTGGAAAGCGGGCACGCGCTGCCGGCCGAGTGGGTGGCTGCGCTGCACGACGCGCCGCGGCTGGCGGCGCTGGAACGCGGCATTGCGGCTGCTGTGCAGTGCGACCCTGCCGGCGACAGCCGGGTGTTGGTGGTTGGCGGCATGGGGCTGGAGGCGGTGATGGTGGCGCAGGCGGGTGCTGCAGCCGTGGCCGTCTACTGCCCCGACAACCCTCTGGCAGCATCCCTGGTGGCTGAGCTGGCAGCCGGCTCGGGGTGCCCTCACCGAGTGGCGGCGGCCACTAGCGCCGCCCAGCTGGCGCAGCTGGGCGCCCAGCAGGCCCCCGCGGGCTACAGCGCGCTGGTCCTGGCCGGCGCGCTGGGGTGCAGCATCGGCTGGCAGCAGCTAGCGGGCGACCTGGCGGCGGCGGCGCCCCTGCTGGCACCCGGCGCCAAGCTGCTGCCGCATGCGGTCCACATGCGAGGCGCGCTGGTGCAGTGCCCGGGCGCTGTGGCTCTGAATGAGGTGGGCGCAAGCGGGCATGCTGGCAGCTCCGCAGGCCCGGCGCTACGGAAATGCATGGTGGGAGTGGCAGCTGGCTGTAGCCTTGCAAATTCCTTGGCCCTGCGCCACCCCCTGCCTCGGCCCTTCCCGCCTGCAGGTGGATGTGCAGGCGGTGCAGGCAGGCACGGGTGGGCTGGACCTTGACGCTACTAACCGCATGCTGCCGCGTGCCAGCCGCTCCGTACGCCTGCCCACCTACCCGCACACAGCCCTCACAGACAGCGCCAGCCTGCTGACCGTGCCGCTGTCTGCTCTGCTGCCCACCACCACCAACAGCGGCGCTGACAGCTGCGCCAGCAGCAGGGACATGCTTGCGGCAGCGGTGCAGTTGCAGGTCGGTACCGGGGGCGCAGCTGATGCGCTGTGCTGGTGGTATGAGCAGGTGCTGGCCGACCCTGCCAGCCCAACCAGCAGCACAGCTCACAATGGCGCGGAGGGTGCAGGAGGCAGCCCGCTGCGATTGTCGGCAGACCCTGCCGGCTGCCCAGGCAGGGATGCCCAGCTGCGCCCGCACGTGTGGCAGCACCTGCAATTCCTGGACCATCGCCAGCTGGCGCCTGGGCAGGCAGTGGAGGTGTTGTGCAGGCTGGCTGGCCCTGCCGCCTCCACCACAGCAGCTGCTGCCAGGCTGCAGGCGGTCAGCCTGGCGGGGAACAACAGCCAGGGCAGCGCGACAGGACCTCTCAGCCTTCAGTTTGATGTGCGGCTGGGCGGTGCCAGCAGCAGCGAGGCCAAGGCAAGCCTGCTGCTGCAGGTGCGGCATGCGGCGGTGGCAGCAGCTATGCCTCGCTACCACACCAGCATGCTCAACGACTCGCTCAGAACGCAAGCTTACCGGCAGGGCATTGCCAGCACCCTGCAGCGGGCCGCGGACAGGTCGGCAGCGACGGCGGCAGCGGCGGGCGACGCCGAGGCGCCTGTGGTGCTGGAGATTGGCAGCGGCAGCGGCCTGCTGTGCCTGCTGGCGTGCCAGGCAGGAGCGCCGCGTGTCCTCGGCTGCGAGCGCCAGCCGGAGCTGCTGGAGGTAGCAGGCCGGCTGCTGGAGGCCAACGGCCTGGCAGAGAGGGTGGCCATCCTCCCCAAGCACAGCAGAGCGCTGACGGTGGCGGCGGGCGCGGGCGGCGGCCGTGGCGGCGCGGCAGACCTGCCCAGGCGGGCAGACGTGTTGCTCCACGAAATTTTCGGCACCGACCCTTTCTCCGAGGGTGAGTCGGTTGAGGTTTGTGGGGAAGACGGCAGGGCGCCGGCGAGCAGATCGGCTGGCTGATCTATGTGTTGCACTGGTTGGGTAGAGGAGCTCCTTCGATCTGAGCTGAGTGGGGCCCCGCCCCTGCCTGCAGGCGTGGTGCCGACGCTGCTGCACGCTAAGCAGCACCAGCTTCAGCCAGGGGCCGCGCTGGCCCCCTGCAAGCTGCACGTGGTGGCAGCGGTGGCCGCCAGCGCCAGCCTGCACCGCCTGCTGCGCCCGCCGCCAGCCGTATGCGGCGGCCGAGTCGCCACCGGGGCGCTGCGCCAGCTGGCGCCGCGCAAGGTCGACTGCCTGGCAGGGGACAGCGACTTGCTGCTGCTGACAGAGCCGTGTCGCGTGCTGAGCGTGGACTTCGAGGATGCTGAGCTGGCGCTGGCAGGCAGCAGCACGGTGCTGCTCGAGTGCCTGCTACGCCCGCTGCCGCTGGCGGCCTGGCTGGCGGCGCAGCAAGCGGCTGCTGGGCAGGCGGCTCAACAGGGAGCAACCAGCAGGAACGGCAGCGTGCACCAGGCGCTGCAGCCAGAAGAGGGGGGCGTCCTGGAGGGGTGTGGGCTCTTTGCTGTTGCCTGGTTTGAGTATGAGTTCAGCGGCGGCATCGTCGGCTCCACCGCACCCCACATGCAGCGCACAGAGCACTGGCAGCAGGTGGTGCAGCCGCTGGAGGGTGCCCCGGCGGACGCGGCGCTGGCGGGGCTAGCTGGCGGCGGCAGCTGCGACGGCGGCGGCGGTGACGTTGCGGGCCTGCTGCTGACCGCCGGCTACCGAGTGGACCGGCTGTGGTTTGAGCTGGAAGCTGTGGCGGCCGCCGTCGACGGCAGCGAGGATGATGGCGAGCTATAGGCGGGGCGCTGCGCCTCCCTGGGCTGCAGGCGGCAACCATGCCCTCTTGCTGCCCCGCCATCGGATGATGAAGCACTTGATTTTTTCGATTCATCTCATCTGCTGCCTATTGTTTTCATTTTATTGAATCGTGGGGCAGTGCAGTCACGCTGCCAACGGCGCCTGCAATAGCGCCTTCTGACGCCAGCAGACAGAACATTCACGGGAGCATGAGCAGCACGGGAGAGCATGGCGGAGGGGGATGAATGGGGCAAGGGATGGCCAGGCAGCGGCTGGTGCGAGCTGGAAAACAGGCGGCCCGCTCTCGGGTTACTCTTCGCTGGGTGCCGGCTCGTCAGGCTTGGGCCGGTCCTCATCGGGGTCCTCCTTGTCCGGCTTCTTCTCCTTCTCCTCCTCCTCCTCCTCATCCGGCATCTGCGCAAGCAGGCAGCAGGCCGAGCATGGACATCCAAGCGCTCTGCTGAACCGCCGACTGATGCCGGCTCCCGTGTGGCGCCGCAGCACCGCGCTTTCCCCCAAGATACTCCTGGCGGGCTGCTGGCTGGCTGGCATCCTGCTCCCCGCGCCGCTGCTGCTGCACACCAGCCCCAGCCCAGGGTGACCCAGGGCGGCCCGCCCGCACCTCGGGGTCGCCCGGCATCGGCTTGGGCAGCGGCGTCTGCAGCTTCTCAAACTCTGGGAAGATGTCGGGGCGCCGGCTGGGCTGCGGCGTGATCCACTCCTGCAGCGGCGGCATGCCATGTGTGGGGCGTTGGGCGCGGCTGGACAGGGCGCACCCGAGCAGCTTCGATCGCAGCTGCCCGACCCGCTGGGACTGGACCAACCAAGCACACACAAACCCACCTGGGGATAGTCGATGGGCGATCGCTCCTGCAGCGTGTGGCACGAGGGTTGTCGAGTGAGCAGGGTTGGCAGGACCAGTGATGCATGACAGCAGCAGCGGTTGGAGGATGGGGGTCGAGCAGGGCAGTTTCGGTTTGCGCAGGAGGCGACCCGGCGGCGGCAGTGGCAGCGGTGGTCAGGTGCCCGAAACGAGTCGCACCTTCTCCGTTTCTGGCTCTGGGTAGGTTGCCAGGATCTGTAGCCGCTGCTGCTGCTGCTGCTGGCGTCGCAACCGGGAGGCCCGCTGCAGGAGGAGACCGGCCCGCATCGGCAGCGCGGGACGCCTAATTGCCTGCATTCTGCATGAGGATGCCGATTGCAGTGGAGCCGAGGGCTGCCGCAAGCTGCACTCTGCCGCCGCACAACTCCTAGCCTGTGTGGCGCACTGCATGCTGCTGGCAGGCTACACAAAGGGCGGCGTGGTGCGTCCTGACGATAGGTTATGCAACCAGGCGCTGCGGCGGCTGCACGAATGGAGGATAGAGGGTGGCGGGAGGTACGGAAGTACGCCGACCGCAGCTGTGGCGCTCCTCGAGTCGAGGGACGGCAGCAGTTGCAGTAGCTCCCTGCATCTGGAGCCCAGCCAAGGCTTTCTTCTGAATTGGCATTCATTGCATGGTGAGCAGCTCTGAGAGCAGTTTTCAGTGACGGTCAAAACTGTGCAGGCGGGGGCAGGCAGGCCCGGCCAACGGAATACTGAATGCAAATACATGTACAACCGAGTTCTGCAGAGGGCGTCCTGCTACATAACGCAGCAACCTCCAGCCCCAGCCCTGCGCCGTGGGGTCAGTCAAACGGGCGCAGGTCGCCGGCCGCAATGGCTGCCAGCCCCTCGCGGTACGTGGGGTACCGCAGCCGCACCCCGAGCTCCTGCTTGATGCGGGTGTTGCGCACGCGCTTCTCCTCCAGCCGCGCCACCGCCGCCGCGGCCTCGCGGTCGCGGCGCGAGCGCGGCCGCATGCGCGCGCGCCCCAGCGCGCGCCACGCCACGCCCGCCGCCGCCTCGTCGTCGCCGTCAAAGCTGCCCGAGCTGCTGCCGCTGCTCAGGCTGCTCACGCCCACCGCGTCGCCGGCGCCGCCCCAGCCCCACCCGCCGTCGCTGAGCGAGCCGGTTGCCCAGCCCTCTAGCGGCATGCCCGCCGCCGCTCGCTCCAGCAGCTCTGCGGCGTACTGCATCACCGTGGCTCTGTCTGCGGGGTCGTCGTCTGCTATGTTGTATGCCGCGCCGGGGCGCGGGTGCCGCGTGGAGGCCTCCAGCACCTGGCAGATGTCGTAGACGTGGCACCGCGCCGTGTACCGATGCCGCCCGCGCCGCTCCTGGCTGGCGCTGGGCCGCCACTGCTGCTGCGGACCGTCCCCGGCGGCGCCCCACTGCCGCTGCACAGTCTCCACCGCGCTGCGCCGTGGGCCTGCAGCGGGTGGGGCAGAGCTGGGCCAGGGCCCTGTCAGAATTGCAGCTAAGGTGCAACTGAACCAACCGGCCCCGGCCCTGGCATCCTGGGGCCCATGAAAACCGCCCGAGCTGCAGGCCGCGGCACCTCCCATCCAGCCGGCCAGCCACGCTCGCGCCCGCGCCCACCGTAGATGCCCCCGCAGCGGAAGAGGTGCACAGGGAGGCCGAAGGAGTCGTGCAGGGCCAGCCACTCGTGCTCCGCCACGATGCGGGACCAGCCCTTGCCGCTTGCCGCCCGCAGCTCGCTGCGCTCATCCACCCACTCGCCCTCGTAGTCGCCATACACTGCTCCCAGGGTTGCAGCGCGGGGCAGGCACGGCAGGCGACAGGAATAAGGTCCAGGGTGCAGAGACCTGGCTCGACAGACGGGCACACAAGGCCAGGCATGCCCTCTCCACCCCCTGGACCTCCATCCCAGCAGCGCCCCGCCCCGCCTCCCCGTCCCCTACCCTCCCAGGGCCCTCACCTGACGTGCTGCTGATGTATCCCACCCACTTGTAGCCGTCGGCGTGCTCGCTCAGCTGCTGCGAGTGCGCCAGGATCACCGGGTCCTCCTCATCCTCGTTGGCATCCGGCGGCACCGTGCTCAGCACGTGCGTGGCGTGCCGCAGGCTCTCCAGCGCCTTGCCGCTGCAGGGGCGGGGGGACCCAGCATGGCTCAAGGGTATAGAGGCAGAGGAAGGCGAAGGGGCAGGGCTGGTGGTGGCCTGGGAGGCCGGCAGGCGCGGCGAGCAGGGTGCCCAACCGCCAGCCCAGCTGCGCTACTGTAGTCTGCCACCGAGCGGGCGTGACGGCCGCTGCCAACTCAGCGCCAGCTCACCCCAGGGTCTCGAAGTCGCCTGGGTCGAAGTGGAATGTCGTGATGCCGCGCTGCTCCAACTGCTGCCGCTTGTCGGGGTTGCGGCACGTCCCCGCCACCTGCCACCCGCGCTTGAGGAAGTAGCTGGCGGCGCCTGCAGCAAGTGAACAAGCGCAGGTGAGCATCAGGCTGCTGACGAGGTGAGCATCAGGGCGACCTGGCATTGGCGTCGCTATATGGCATGCAGAGCGTTTTCAGCTAAATTCCGACGTGCCTAGTCCGGTGTAGCCCAGCCCAAACACAAAGAGGCGTTTTTGATCAGGCTGCCGTCCCAGGCTGGGCCAGGAGGCTGTCACGACGAGCATGCCCCGCCGCCGGCTCAAGGCTGCTCGTCTGCTGCTGCTGCTGCTGCTGCTGCTGCCCATTTGGACGGCGGCGGCAGCGGCGGCAGCGTTGCCGCCGCTGGCCCCACAAGCGTGTCGGCAGCTTGCTGGGGGCCTGCATGCCACAACCGAGAGTGTCGCAGTGCTGTGCCCGCCCAGCCCAAGCCCAGAGGCAAAGGGGCGTAGGCTGGGCGACACACGCATCACGGCGTGCGCCCTCACACGCCGATGATTGTAATGCACTGAGATCGATCGACCGAAGAGGTGAGCGAGACGTGACAAGCGCCAGCAAGCCCAATCAGGGGCTGGGTCGGGAGGAAGGCAGGCCCCATCTGGCTGCACGAACCCTAGCATTTGAGTCTGGGGCCCCTGCACGCCCTGCAGAAGTCCTGAGTGGATTGGTGGTGTGTTGCTGCATCGATCGCACGCCATGATGGTTCAGGCCAGCTCCCAGTTGCAGGGTGCGCCAGCACCCACCGCCCAGGCCGTGAAGCGCGCCCCCAAGCTGGCCGTGCCCAGGCACCTGGCCTCCATTGGCGCGGGCCTGCTGGGCAGCGGCGCCCTGGGCGTGCCTGCGGCCGGCGCCGAGCCCATCCCCTATGGCGCCCCCGCCGCCGCCGCTCCCGCCCTCTCGCTGCCGGCGGTACAGATGCCCGACATCTCCCTCCCCTCCGTCTCCCTGCCCGCCGTGGACATCCCCGACGTCGGCGGCCTGCTGGACGGCGCCGACCCGCTGGTGGTGGGAGGCGTGGTGGCGGCGGTGGCGCTGCCCGCCGCCCTCCTCGCCCTGCTGGGCGGCGGCAGCAGCGGGCCCAAGGTGAAGGGCGTGTCTGCGGCTAAGGCTCTGGAGGCGCTGGCAGCCGACGAATACGTCATCCTGCTGGACATTCGCTCCAAGGCAGACGCCCGCGCGGCAGGCAGCCCCAACCTGAAGGGGGTCAGCCGCCGCGGCGTGGTGTCGGTGCCATACGCCTCCCTGGTCAAGGTGCGGGGCCCAGCCCGCGCGCGCGGCGGCAGGCGGCTGGCGGGCAGCTGGCAGACAGCTGGCGCGCCTACCGACAGCGTGAAAGCCGGGGAGCGGCCGCACTGGCAGCCGTCGCCGCGCTGCTGCCGCATGCCTGCTTGCCCTCCTGCCCGCCTGCCTGCCTGCCTGCCGACCTGCCTACCCAACCGCCTGCTGCGCCCCGTGCAGGGCGAGGTGGTGGTGGACGAGAGGTTTGGGGCCAAGGTGGCCAAGGTGAAGGGCGTGGAGGCGGCGGGGGCTCCCGTCATCCTGCTGGACACGTGAGAGGCGGCTGGCAGCGGGGCGGGGGTGCCGGGGGGTGGCTGCTGCCGGCGCGGCGGGGCGGGGCAGCGCTGCCGCGGCCTGCCTGCCTGGCGCGCGTGTCTGCTGCTGTTCCTGCGGCGTGGAGCAGCCGACGCCGGCCAGCCAGCTGGGTGTGTGTGCCTGCCTGCCTGCCTGCATCGTGGCTCTTCAATGCAGGGACAGCCTGGTCAGCAGGCGTGCATGCGTGTGCCCGCCAATGCACCCCACTCCTCCTCGTGCTGCTCCCTCCCCCGCCTGCGCCCCCGCAGCTCCGGCTCCGAGGCGGCTGCCGCGGCCAAGGCCATCCTGGCGGAGGTCCCCCTGGAGCGGCTGTACTTTGTGCAGGGCGGAGCCGACGCCTGGCAGGTGCGCCCCGCCTGGGGGCAGCCTACGCGCAAGCTGGGGGCCACGGGGGGCGGGCACGCGGCGCGAAACGCCTGGGCGCGTGTGTGCGTGTGCCGTGTGTGCTCGAGGCCGGCGGCTGCGCACGCGGGGGTCACCCGGGGCCCGCTCCTGCACCAGCAGCCGCCAACTCCTCGAGCACGTCTCACCCTTCATGCACCCCATCCCGCCCCCACCCCGGCCCACCCACCCCCTCGCCAGGCATCTGGCAACCCGTGGAAGGAACCCAGCGCCCCCTTCAGCTTCTCCCTGCCCGACATCGACCTGGCCAGCCTGGACCTGTCAGGCGCCACCAAGACCATCGCCGGCGGCGTGCAGACCACGGCGGCCGCCGTCACCACCCTCGCCTCCGACTTTGAGTCCGCCCCCGCCTCCGCAAAGGGCCTGCTGGCAGCCGTGGGCGTGGTTGGCGCCTCCGCTTTCCTCTTCAGCCAGGTGTGGCGGCGGGGCTCGTGTCTGGGGCCGCCTCGGCTGCCTGCTGCTGCTGCTGCTGCTGCCGCCGCCCCTGTACGCTGGTTTTGTGGCGGGCGTGGCGAGGCAGGGTGGCGGTGGGTGGCGAGGTGTGGCGGCGGCATACATACGGGGCTGACTGGCTGTGGGTGGCCGAGCGGCGCCAACGGCGGCATGCGGGGCTGGATGGCCGTGGGTGGCTGTGCGGCGTCAGCGGCGGCATCGGCTGCCTTTGGCTCCTCCCCCTGGCCTGGCCGACCCCGCGCCGCCGCCTGGGCGTGCGCAGGTGGAGCTGCTGCTGGAGCTGGCGGGCCTGGTGGCTGCCGGCCAGTTCCTGCTCAAGGTGGTCTTTGCTGAGGACCGGGAGAAGACGCTCACCGAGATCAAGTGAGCTGGGGAGCGGCGGCATGGAGGGGGAGGAGCAGCAGGAGGCCTTCATATTGCAGGGAAGGGAGGAGGGGGGCTCCTGCATGTGCAGGGCAGCACCACAGGCTGTGCCGTGCTTGCCGCCGACGCGCCGTGCCGCCGTGCTGCCCCGGCCCGCCGCCGCCGCGAGCAGGAAGGTGGCTGAGGAGATTGATGTCAAGGATCTGCCCGAGGACTTGGGCAAGATTGCTGTGACGCTGCTGGAAGACCCCACCGCCGCCCCGGCCGCCACGGTGAGGCAGCGCGGCCTGGCTGGAGCGGGAGGTCTGGGCACTGGTGTGATGGGGGCCCGACAGGGTGGTGGCGAGGGCCTGCATGCAGCAGGAGGTGGCGGCGAGCAGCGCGGGGAGGCCGTGTGCTTGCATTGGGCGCCCGGCTGGACAACAGGTGTCCACTGCTCCTGGCTGAACGCCGTGGGCGCGAGCCGCGTGTTGAGCTGGTGCGTCCTGTTCTCCCTGTTTCCCCAGTCGTGCTCCTGAGTGGCTGCTCCATTGTGCGTGTGCAGACCAAGAAGGCAGCGCCGGAGCCCAGCCCGGTGCCCGTGGTGGCAGCCAGCGGCGGCGGCGAGCCCAGCTCCTCGCCCGCGGCGCCCGAGGCGTAGAGGAGGTGAGCCGCTGGGCTCCTGGCCTTGGGAATTCCCTCACCAGGGCATGCACCAACAGCTCCTGTGCACCATCTGCTGGCGCTCCACAAGGCGCTGCTGTGCGAATTGCGCCACCTTGCTGCAGCAGCACGCGATTGCGGAGGGAGTCTTTTGAGCCCTCCGCAGCCCCGCTCATCTCTGCTGATAACTGTGACGAGAGACCACGCTGCGTTCTGCCTACCTTTGTGCTGCTGATGACGGCCGGGAGATACTAGATTTGGCGGGGCAGTGTGCCCTGCCACCTTCTTAGTCCATCGTTGAGTGACCGGCCTCGCCGCTGGCCGGCCACGGCACTGCCGCCGCCGCCGCGTGCAGCGGAACGAGAAGAGGACGAAAGCGGGCTGCCGCTGTTATTCACCTTGACATCTATTGTTGCAGTTTCATGCCTGCTCTCAGCCCTCGCCCTCCGGGCCTCCCACGTACCACCGATGTCGGCTGTCCCCATGTCTCCATAGCCTCGCCTAAGTGTCCATGTTGCGTCACGTCCTCTGCTTGCATTTGCCTTTCTGCCTCATGTGGTCTGCTGCCTCACCCCTGGTGCGCCGCCAATGTGTGAATCTCTCCATTGCCGCTGTGGTGACCGTCCTACAGCCCATGTGTTAATGTGCCTATGAATCATTTCATCCCGCATGAACCTGCCTCTCTTCATTTATTTCTATTCCCGCGGGGTAGCGCCTCCCGCGGGCCCTCCTGCTCGATCTGTCTGCCGGTGCCTGGCGTGCGCCCTGCTGCCTTGCGCCCACACCGCGTGCAAGCTTCCAACCCCAGCACGCCCTGAGCTGTGTAATGCGCTCCGAGATGGGAAGAGCTGGCGGGTCAATGAGGGGCAGGAGGTGGCACCACACGTCAGCTCCACCTCGGTGATGTTCCACCAAGTGCTATTGCCTGCCGATCCCTTAACGTGTATGGGTTGCCTCCAACATAGATGTGACCATTCTCAACGCACCAAATGCTACACAGCCCAAAGAGAAGCAAGCGGGCCATGCGCCCGAGCCCTGCCCCCACCCATCTTCACCGCGCCCGGCGCTTGCCCACCACCGCCCCTCAGTAGCAGCTCCCAACCCATGCCAGCTCGTGCTCCTCGATGGATGGGCGGTCGGCTTAGGCGGGGACCTCGGCCACAATCCCCACCGAGCAGTAAAACTCCTGCGTGTACATGCCCTCTGCAGCGGGGAGGGGCACGCGGGCGCCACCACAGGGAGGCGTCTGCCTCCGAATCCCATTGGGAGGCTGCGCCGCACGGGGGCAGCATAGCAGCAATGGGGGGCACCCACCGTTGCCATAAAACTGCCCCATGGTGCCCAGGGTCCACTCTTCAAAGGCCTGCATCCCGCCCAGCCAGTTGATGCTGCGGCGCAGGCGGCAGGCCAGCAGGCGGTGCAGCGCGCTTCAGACGACAGACCGCCCTTCAAGACGCACTCCCAGCGTTGCGTGGATGCCGCAACCTCGCTGCACAATCCACGCGCACGCATGCAGTCGCCCCATGAAACACCTGATGTCCAGCTTGGCCTGCGTGTCCTTCATCAGAAACTCGGGGTCGCACTCGCCCTCGCCGCGCCGGGGGCGGCGCGCGCCCGCCCTGACCGTCAGCCTGCCGGCGCGTATGGGGCTGACAAACAGGGCTCGCTCTGCCCTGGCATAGTCCTCCTCAGTCTCGCCCTCGACCTCATCCATGGCATCCTCGATATCCTGCGTGCATTAACAAAACAGCAAAGCACACACAAACACAAACACACAAACCAACATCAGCTTAGGCAGGCAGGCCAGGCGGTGCCCAGCGCTTCGCCAAAACAAACCACAGGGCAAGTTGGGAGGGGGGGACGGCGGCACGGCCAGCACTCGGGGATCGATCCACTCACGTGCTGCCACACGCGCACAAGGGTGCACGGCACGCGCAGCGCGGCCAGCACGTGCAGCATGGCGCCATCAGCGCCCTTCATCATTTTCCGCACCGCCTACAGCGGCGCAGGCAGCACATAGCCGCAGGAGCTGGCACACTGCCGTAGGTCGATGCCGACGGCGAGCTGGGAGCACTCTGTGGCAGAGCAGGGCGGCGCTGAAAAGGCTGTAGAGGCCAGGGATGCGCCGGCCGCCAGCAGCTAGCGTGCTCTGACCGCCCCCTGCTGCCGCACCTGCTCGTTCACGCCAGCCACCAGGGATGCGGGGTAGGCGTGCCGGCAGGCAAACCCGATCCTGCCGCCATTCACCAGGAAGTCCTTGCTGCCCAGCGCAGCATGCAGCGCGCGCAGCAGCGGGGCGGCGGTGCCAGGCAGCGCCTTGAGCGGCTGGGGCGAGCCGCTGGCCGTCTCTGCAGCCAGGGGCCGGCACCAGCAGCCTCGGGGCAGGCACGGCAGCAGCCAGAGCCGGGCAGGCAGGCAAGGCTGAGTGGGGAGCACCATGGGGAGGCGGGAAGGCACCGCCTCGGCAGCCGATGCCAGCCTTGCATGCATGAGCTGAGCTGCCCCGCCTGCCAGCCCCAGCCAACCCTAAACCCACCTGGGCGGGCAAAGAGCTCGTAGGCCAGTGCCACGCGCGTGCCCTCGGTGACAGCCAGCACCTCATGCAGCACATCCGGGAAGAAAGCAGCCCACTGCACCTCCCCCGCCGCCTCCCCGGCCCCAAACTCATACTCGGTGCTCTGGCTGCCGTGCTTGAGGCGCAGCGTGCCGCCAGCGTGGCCCACGGGGAGGCAGACCACGAGGGAGGCCACAAAGCCTGGGTCGCCGCGGGGCGTGTCGCGGTTGGGCTTGAAGAAGCCGCCTGCAGCAGAGGCAGGGAGCGCAACCGTTGTGGAGCCAAGGCCCGAACGTCCAAGGCTTGCTCCATGCCTCCGTGCCCCATGCCTGACAGCGCAGCAGTCCAGCAGGCAGCAGGCAGGCCAGCCAGGCAGCACAGCCAGGGCGAGCCCACCGGCGCGGTAGACGTTGAGGGCGTGCAGCCTGGCGGACAGCGGCCCTGCCGCGGCAGCAGCACGCGCCCCACGGCCGCCAGCACGCTGCTCAGGTGGGCCGCCTCAAAGTGCTGGGTGTAGATGCGGTCGGCGGGCAGCGCCAGGGCGGAGCGGTAGGATTCATCCCGCACTGCAAGCGGGTGGGGCCATGGCAAGCTGGTGGGAACCGGCGGGCTGTGGGCCGGAGCTGGGTGGGCACTCCGCTGGGTTGGCGTGCGCGCACCCGTCTTCTTCCCCTTGCCGAACGTGGCAGGCGCGCACAGGGCCAACAGAGCCTCCAGGTCGCGCTCCCCCTCCGCCCCGCAGCCAGGGAACTCCACCACGCGCGCCTCGGCGGCCGCCTCGCCCGCCCCCGCCAGCGCCAGCCGGACGGCCAGCGGGCCGAGGGTGCCGCCGGCGCAGAAGGGGGGACGCAGCTGCTGGGAGGCTGCAAGGATGTCGCCCAGCACCTCCTCCTCAGCCAGGGAACGCAGAGAGCTGGGACCGGCCATGTCTCAAAGGGTTTCGGCGGTTTTGCTCAAGGTTGGGTGGCCGAGCCCCAAGGTGCTAGGGAGCAAGAGCAGCACAGAGGAGCTGGCTGGGCATGAGGAGGACGCGGCAGCACCACAACGCCTGGCTTTCCACCAAGCACCATCCCCCCATCTGACGGCATTAAGAAGCCTCAACATGCTTCGCATTGCTGTTTTCGCAAATGGATGCGTGCCTGCTTGATCACTGGGAGTATGCTGCGCTTGAGCAGCATGTGGACATGCCTGACCGTGGCCGCAGCCACCGCCACAGGTCAATCTGATGTCAAGTGGTGACGGTCAGCGGATGAGGGAAGTTCGGACTTGCACAGCCACCTAGCAGGTTCAGAAACGATTCCATGGTATAGCCGGTATACTTGTGGGCGGCACCGTGGCGGCGGCGGCTGGCGGCGGCCCTGGCGGCCGGAAGAGCATGGGCAGCGCGCTCCTCTTTTGTTGCTTCCCGTCATTGATGCGCTCTCGTTCGCATTGGCAACTGCCGCGCGAGCAGCGGGCAGCTTTTTCGCGCCACGGGCAACTTTTTTGGCCCCCCAATGAGCAGAGCTAAATTTCCTCCGGCCATTGGTAAAAACCGCTGTTATATTTTCTGTCGCTGCCTTGACTGCAGCGGCTGCGCATTGCACTCAAAACCCTCCCTGCTAATACACCCCGCCTTGCCTCCCGGACCCCGCTCTGTTCCGATTCACGTGAAGCGGCCCCAGTTACTCCAGCGCTGTGTTTTTGCAGCCTCCTGATACCTCGAGGGCCACCCGCCTCCACGGCGCGGCATTCTCGTCTCCCGAACCACCTTGCCGCCTCCACCAAGGCTTGCACCACGTCCTGATCTGTGCTGCACGCCAGCACTCGCCGCAACCATCAGCCGCCAGAACCAGCCGACCCTCCCCAACGAGCGGCAGCCCAGGCGCCGGCGCCAGAATCCGCGCGCCGCCACACCTGCCCTTGCACGGCCGCCGTCCCCAGGAGCGGGCCCCCGCCGCCATTTCTGACCCCCGCACGTCCATGGCTGAGGAGGTGGTGGCCGCCTATGCCACCTCCCTGTTTGTGCGTTCGGAAGCCGAGGTGCGGCGCCCCGTGGTGCTGCTGACGGGCGAGCGCACCAACGTGTTTGGCGTGCTGGAAAAGGTGCGCAGGATCCCTGCGCCGGCGCAGGCACGGCCGCGGCTGGGCCCCTGCTCCGGGCCCTACCCCTCGCCCCCGTCCCGCCCTCGACGGCACCGCCCTGCTCACAGCTGCCCCTGCCCCTGCCCACCCCGCCGCAGCACTTCAAAGAGACCGCGCTGCCGCCCTCGGAGCGCTTCTGGCGCACGGTCCGCCAGCAGTGGACGCCGCAGCTGGACACGTGGCGGCCGCGCGTCAACGGCGTGCAGCTCAAGGTGGGCGCCTGGCTGGGTGGCGATCCTGGGCTGCCCCGCTCGCGCTCGGCTGCCATCCAGGCCACACCCGTGCCTGCCCGTCCTGCCGCCGCACGCCTTTGCACTCTGCCGCAGCCACTCGCCCCCCCCCCCCCCCCCCCCGCCCTGCCCTCCTGCCCCCGCGCGCAGGTGCTGGCCGGCGCGCGGCTTCCCGAGAGCGAGGAGGAGTGGTCTGCGCTGCGCACCGCGCTGGCGGGCGTGCGCAAGCACCTGCGCCCCGACACCAGCGTGGAGCGCCTGCACGCCGAGCTGCGCGATTTTGTGGGCATGGTGGTGGACTGGTGGGGCAACCGCAAGAAGACCGAGCAGGGTGGGCTGTGGGGGGTGGGGCGGGCCCTGCGGGCCGGGGTTCTGCACCAGGCAGCCGGCTGGAGCCGAGCCGCGCCCGGCCGAGCAGATCCAGCCCGGCTGCTGGTGCCTGCATTGGATGCCTTGCTTGCCTGGACCGCCGCCCGCGGCGTGCCTGCCCGCCCAGCCAACCGCGGCGCGGCCCCGCCCTCCCCGCAGGCCCCACAGGCATGAATGGCATGGGCGGGCTGATGCGGCGCGTGGCCAGCGCGGGACTGATGCTGCAGGGCGCGGGCATGGGCGGCATGCCTCCGGCCAAGAAGCAGTGCTTGGAGTATGTGCAGCTGGCGCCGCCGCCGCAGACGACGGTGTACCAGTCGACCATCTATGCTGCCCCAGAGATCGTGGCACACCAGCTGCTGGGCGCCGGAGGCAGTGGGCGCCTGCCCGACCGCCTGCCGCTGTCTCCCGGGGGCGAGCTGGCGGTGGTGCCCGCGGCGGCGCAGCCGCCTCAGCAGCCGCTGCAGCAGCAGCCGGCGCAGCAGCAGCACGAGGGCAGCGGCCACGGCGGTGGCAGCTACTTGCAGCACCTCACCGGCAGCGGCGACCCGCAGCTGTTTGGGCCGTGGTTCCCGGGCGACGCAGGCGGCGGCGAGGGCGACCAGCCCGCGGCACCACCTGCAGCAGCGCCAGGCCGCGGCCCTGCTGCCAGCCCTGGCGGCCCCCACGGGCGCCGGATCGGGCGGCGACAACGGCTACCACCCTCAGTCGCCCAAAGGTGACCGCCGCGAGGGCTCGGCAGACAACCGAGAGCGAGAGGTGCGGCACTGCGCCTGCTGGGAGGGCGACGCGCAGCCCGCCTCGCAGCCGGTCAGGTGCCCAGCACAGGCAACCGCCGTGCGCCAATCAGCAGCCCTCTCACCCCTCACACGCGCGCCCCCGCCGCCTCGCTGCCCGCGCAGGCCGCGCGCCCCGCCGCCGCGCCGCCCGCCGCCGACGGCAAGGTGTTTGTCACGCTAAACGTGGGCGGCCACCGCTTCCTGACCACCGCCGCCACGCTGGCCGCCGTGGGAGGCTCCTACTTCTCCAAGCTGGCCCAGCAGGCGGCGGCGGCGGCGGCCAAGGGCCACAACGGCAGCGAGTATTTTGTGGACAGGAGCGGCAAGGTGCGGTGCTGGGGTGTGTGGCTGGGAGCGCGCGCACGCACGCGCGCATGCATGTGTGCAGCAGGGTGGGAGAGGTGGCAGCCAAAGCGTGGGCAATGTGTGTGCCTCGGCGTGTGCTCGCCCCCTGCCGTAACGCCTCGCTGACCAGAGCGCCTGTGCCCACCCTGGCCCTGCCCCCGCCCCTCCTCCTGCCCCGCAGATCTTTGAGTATGTGCTCGACTTCCTGCGCTCCCACCGCTTTGCCGACAGCCCCTCCATCCTGCCCCGCGACGAGCGCACGCTGCAGCTGCTGGCCAGGTGGGGCTGGCGGCCGGGTGGCAGGCTGGCGGCCGGGTGGCGGGCCGCGGGGAGGCAGCAGATGCACAGCACAGCCAGGAGGTGGCGTGGGCAGGCGCCCTGGGCGGGAGGGGCCGGGCCAGGCGGCACGGATGGCTCTAGTGGGCCCGAGGCTGGCAGCAGGAGATGGCCAGCCGACCCCTTCGCGGAGCGCCTCCCGCCCTCGCCTTTCTTCCTGCAGGGAGGCTGACTTCTACCAGCTGCCTGACCTGGCAGATCGCGCGCGCGGCATGCTGGCGGCGGCCACGGCGGCGGCGGCGGTGGCTGCGGCGGCGGCGGTGGCGGCTGCGGGCCAGGCGGGCGAGGAGACACCCTCAGGTGCGCGAGGCCGGCGGCAGGGCTTCGCATCCCTTGGGTCAGGCGACATGGCTGGCTGCTGCAGCGAGCAGCGTCATGGGGTGCGCAGTGCTGGCGGCCAGCCATTGCGTGCCGGCCACTCGCTCAATGTGCCGCCGCACGCTCCCGGCCCTGCAGACATGCCCGCAAACATCGCAGAGGGCAGCGCCCACGGCGGCCAGCTGCTGGCGGCCCGGTTTGGCGGCGCCGCCGCCGCGCTGGCGGCCCAGCAGCAGCAGCAGGCGGCCACGCTGGATGCCGTGTTCCTGGAGACCGGGTTCCAGGAGGCTGCTGAGCTGGCGGTGGCGCAGGCCGGCCTGCTGCGCCAGCTCAACGCCGCGCTGCAGGCCAAGCAGGCCGAGGGATACACTGTCGTGTCCACAGAGTGCGGCACGGAGCGGGAGGGCCCGCGCCGCAACCTGCACTACCACGTGCTGGTGCGCAAGGCGGCGGGGGCCGGCAGCTGAGCCGGGGAGGAGCCCACGAGTCCAGTGCGCTTTGTGCTCCCTCACACGTCATACAGTATGGTGCAATTCATTGTACTGCCGCACCTGCATCCCTGCATCTTCCTGTACATTACCCTCCAACTCGACCACCACCTCGGGCCCTGCCTGGCAGCCCTGAGATTGTTTTTTATTGCATGCTTCAGTTGCCCCCCTCCGCCCGCTACTGTTCCCATGCTCGAGCTTGGGTTGGGTCTGGCGGCGACGACTTTATACATACTCCTGCTCTGCCAGCACATCTCCTCCGACCATTTCGTTGGCTGCGGCCTGCAAAGCTAGCTTTGGCTTTCTTCACCGCGCCCCCCCTCTCACCTGCAATCCTCACTGTCGCACGTCTAGCGCTGTCCCCACCTGCATTAGAGCCTTCCCCCTGCGGCACTTGATAGCTCCAATAAATGCCCCTTTCCCGTTGCACTTGCTTTTCTTGCAATGCCAGGTCTTCCCAGGTAACACCAGAACACCACCAACATGGCGCAAGGATGCATCACGCTGCTATGTCAATCTCAAGCCCTGCAGCGCTGGGGCAGCAGCCTCTCCCTCCTCTCCTGCCTGCTCCTGCTGCACTGCTTCCTCCTCCTCTTCATCAGCATCCGAGGACGAGGCGGACGGCGGCAGCAGGCCCGCGGGCAAGTAACTTCCTCCCCGCTGCTCTCCTGCCGCCCCTCCTGTAGCACCTGTCCCTCTGCCTGCCGCGCTCGCTGCTGTGTCCGCCTCCTCCTCTGCCTCGGACTCCTCTTCCGACTCTGACGGCGGCAGCATGCCGCGGCGCAGGTAGCTGCCGTCATCCGCCTCCTCCTCCTCCTCCTCGCCCTCCTCGTCGCTCGCCCCGCCCATGCCTGCGGGCAGGCGGCGGTGGAGGCCGCCCCCAGCCTGCATCGACTGCAGGTGCTCTGCCTGCGCAGCAATCACCTCTACCGCGGTCTCGCACGCCGCGTACCGGTCCAGCAAGCCCTGGTTCAAGGACAGGAAGCTGTGGCCCCTGCACGCACACAGGTCGGGAGCACCAGCACAGGACTTCGAGCAGGCCAGGAGGGACAGAAAGAAAGCCGCGCCGAGCGCAGCGCCGCTGACTGGAGCTGACGCAGCGCCAGCGGGGCCTGCCAGCCCTCGCCGCGCTGCCTGCTAGCTCACCACTTGAAACGGCTCATCAGCCGCACCGCCGCCGCCTGCCAGCCGCAGATGTGGAGCGCCGCCGCCACCGCCTCTGCGCACGACAGCTTGCAGGGCTTGCCATAGTTGACAGGGTTGGCAGCCAGCAGCCAGGGCAGCAGGCGGGGCGCCTGCCCCTTGATGCGGCCTGCGGGGTCGCACGCGTGGGCAAAGCGGCGCGGCGGTGAGCCTGCCGCAGCTGGCGACTTGCTGCGATTTCGGCCGACCAAGCTTGCTGTCTGCGGCAGGCCCGCTCATTGGCCTGCCAGCAATCTCATGTTGTGCAGCCCCTGTCCAGCTGTGGCTGTGCCCCTGCTGCGCACCCTGAGCCCCGGCTGTGCTGTGCCCCTGCCGCGCACCAAAGGGCACATCGTCCAGGCGGTTCCATGAGCAGTCCACCACCGCCAGCCCCTTGGTGCCCACTAGCTCCTGGTCCTGCCGGGACACGCAGCTGCGCCCCACAGGGCTCAGGATGACCCCCGGGTAGCTCTGCGTGGAGGGCGGGCGGCGTGGAGGGCGCTGGGCGGCGTCGCGCAGGGCTTCCAGCTGCGTGCATGTGATGTGCGGTGGGGCGAGGGCGACGTGGGCGCCACGCCGCTCCCCGTACCTGGTTCAGGCGCAGCTCACGCACCAGCCCCTGCCGTGCCAGCCGCGTGCCGGTGCAGCGCTTGCGGTCGCACTGCCCCAGGTCCCACCTGCAGCAGGCCAGGCAGGGCCCAAACAAAGTTGCCGGTTCCGGCCGGATGGCGGGAGGCGGCAGGCGGGGTAGCAGACAGCGGTGAGCGGGCCCTCTCCAGCATGCCGCGCCGCAGTCAGACGTGCTCAGAGATCAGCAGGTTCCTTCCAGGGCAGAGAGGCCGCCCAGCGCAACTCACATGGCCAACTTGATGGGGAACGGCCCCTCCTCCTCCGCTTCCGAGCTGCCCTCGTCGCTCCCGGAGCCTGCCTCTGGCTGTTGCGCCTCCCATCGGTTTTGTCTCTTGCCGCCCTGCCGCCCGCTGTGGCTGCCAATGGGCCTCGGCATGCTCTTCCTGATTATTGGCAGTGGGAGGGTCTACTTAAGAGTTGTGCAGCTCTGTAATCGAGCTGGAATACACAAACAATCCGCCATGCACAGTTTTGTGGCGCCGCTCCCGTCGTCACGCAGGGTACACCCCAGCGCCATGGATACTGCTGCTGGGGAAGCATGGGGCAGCCGTAGCCGCAGGGTCTGTGGGAGGGAGGGGCGCCATAGTATGCCGGAGGCGGTGCCGTTGCTGGAAGATAGGCGTAGGGCGCTGCCGGTGGCGGCGGCGGCTGGGCGGGCGTGGCCCCGGGAGGAGCTCAGCAGCGAGTGCCTAGTTGATGTTGATGAATGGCTGCTGCTTGACGGGCTCGATCCAGCTGTTTGGCATTGGCGGGGCGCTGGGCTGGCGCTGGGCTCGGTCGCGTCCATGTTGGTTTTGCGTGTGTCGGGAGGGGGTTTTGCGGGCTGCTAACGAGGGGCTTGCAATGATGAACATCCCAATTTGATATCGCAGCGAGCTGCTCAGGCATCGCCAGCTGGCGTGACTGTGCATGGCCCCCCTTTTTAGAGCGGGCAGCAGGGCGCGCATCTGTCTTCCTCGATTCCGCAGGAACGTAACAGCGGGGTGCGTGAACCAGCTTGGACACACCGCTTCCGAGCCTCTCGAGCTCCAAGCCAGACCCCAACAGCGGTCCAGGACGCCATGCTGCGGTCCTGGGCGACGGCCGCAAGCCAGGCCATGCCTCCTGGTGCTCAAGAGAAGGCCGCAGGTGCTGCCTCGACAAGCTTTTCCCCACCCCACGCCTCCCCGCCGCCCTGCCGAGCTCCACAGATTCAACAAAAACCACGGGAGCATTGCCCCTGGCCGCTGCAGAGGTGCTGCAGGCGGCGAGCAAGGTGCTGCAGCCGGCGGCGGCGGCGCTCCGCCTGCAGGCTCGCCGGCTAGAGCCTGTGGTCACCCCAGCGCTGGCCGCGGCAGCCCCGCACCTGAGGCAGGCCGGGCAGTGGGCCAACCAGCAGGTGACGGCGTTGGAGCCGTGGCAGGAGTGGGCCAACCAGCAGCTGACGGCGCTGGAGGCGTGGCAGGTGGTGCTGGCCACCGTGGTGGCGACGCTAGTTGCGGCTCGCCTGCTGCGGGCCTTCCGCGCTGCTGTGCGCACTGTTCAGGACAAGGGTGAGAGGCGCTGCCGCAAGCAACGCGTGCTGCTCGCGATAGCACTCCCAGCAAGCACCCCAGCCTGCCGCCGCAATGAAGCGAGTGCCTGGCATGGTCTACAGGCGGGGAGCAGCCCCACACGCCAGCCATGCCGTGGTGTGCTTGCTGCCAAGGCGAGCTCTCAACTGCTTGCAGCCTGCTCCCTCCCTGCCCGAGCAGGCTGGCGCCAGGTGGTGGCGGGATTCGTGCTGGATCTGCCGCTGGTGCGGGGCCGCGTGGCGCAGCAGCAGGCGGCGCTGGCAGCCAAGATTCGGGAGGACCTTCGGAAGAAGGCGGCGGCAGGTGGGAGGGCAGGGCAGGGCCCACCGGGGTTGTCATTGTGCCGCCTGCGCTTGCAGATGTGCGTGCCTGGTTGGTTCGCTATGTGCGGAGGGAATCAACTTGGCAGTTCTGTTGCTGCTGCCGTCACACTGGCGGTGCATTCAGCAGCACGAGAGGCTGCTGCCGCCGCCCCACGCCGCCGCTGCTGTCCCTCCCTGACCCTCAGGCGGTGCGCCGCCGGCGCTGCGGGCGCTCCCCAAGGCCGGCAGCGCGCCCAACGACGTCAAGCGGCAGCTCAAGTACAAGGAGGGCGAGGACATGCGGTTCACAGACGGCGACAGCCGCGTGTCGGGTGCGTGGCGAGCGGCGCGCCGCCCAGCGCCGCCAGCGCGCCTGCTCGCTGCCTCCTCGCTGACACCCCCCGCCCCGCCCCGCCCCGCCCCGCCCGCCTGCAGGCACTGTGTACATGGCTGGCGCGCTGCACAAGCAGCTGCTGGCGGAGGCTTACTCCATGTTTGCCCTCACCAACCCCATGCACAGCGACGTGTTCCCGTCTGTGCGCAAGATGGAGGGGGAGGTGGTGGCCATGACGGCCAGCATCCTGGGAGGTGAGGTGGGCCCGCTGCCGGGCCGGCTGGTGCTGCGCAGGCCTGCCACGCCCCGGGCCGGCACAGGTGAGTGGCGGGCTCGGTGGAGAGTGTGGGCTCTGGGCCATGCGCCTGCCGCCGTTTCAGCAGCGGACTGGCTGGTGCGACCGTCCTGCCCTGCCTGCGAGCAGGCGGCCCCGCGGGCAACCCCTCTGTGTGCGGCAGCATGACCAGCGGCGGCACCGAGTCCATCCTGACTGCCGTCAAGGCCAGCCGCGACTACATGGCAGCGACGCGGGGCATCACCCAGCCTGAGATGGTGGTGGCGGTCAGCGCGCACGCCGCCTTCATCAAGGCCGCAGGCACGTGCTTGCCTTGCCTGGGCAGCTGCCCATGGCAGCTGGGCTGCTTCTGCTGGCGCTCCCCGTGTCGCTGCATCCGCGTGCCCGCCCACCCCCAGCCTGCTGCCGAGCCCTTCGCGCTGCTGCCCACTCTCCTCGCACCACCACGCACCGCACATAAGCACACAGCTCCCCACCCTCCCCGCTGCCTGCAAGCAGAGTATTTCAAGATCCGCCTCATCCGGCTGCCGGTGGGGCGCGACTTCCGCCTGTCGGCCGCCGCGGTGCGGTCTGCCGTGGGCCCCAACACTGTGCTGGTGGCGGCCTCAGCACCCGGCTTCCCCCATGGGCTGGTGGACCACGTGGAGGAGATTGCAAAGGTGGGGGTGTGGGGTTGTGTCCAGGTGCCGGTTGTGTGGGTGGGTTGTGGTT